CACCCACACACTGCCACATTACTTTCCTTTCCCCTACCACGCAGTGCCTTTTCGCCCTCGATTATTCTCCTCGACAGGCACGCAAGACGACAACTCGCCCCATGCTTTCGACCATTTCTCCTTGTTATTAACAGCTAGCATCATGGAAACCGACCATGCCCCGTCTGCCGAAGTGCCTCTCATTCCTCTGGATCCCCAATGCGGAATATGCAACGAGAAAATCGATAAAGAGGTCGTCGTTACTGCTTGTATGTTCCATTCCCCCACCATTTCCCTAGAAAAACGTATCTGACGGGAGATGATTCAGTGATAGGCAAACGTGAGCATATGACCTACCTTGGCCGTACCATCAAGTTCCCCTTTCCGCTTTACGGCACTTATATACCTTCACCAGACGGCATAGATGCATACCTCAACCGCAAGGCGCAAGTCCACTTTTGCTTCCTTTGCGCCGAAACCACCAAAAAGGAGAAATGACCCTCCGCACATTCAAGCCACGCTTTGGAAACCCATTTCGAAGCCATTGCCTCCCATCATGACTGCTTTTCCATGTTCCTCCAGTCCTGCCCGCTTCCCCCGCGCCTGGCATGCGAACGACTATGGAAGGTGGCCATTGCTAAACGCCCGTGGCCTCTCGGTTACCAAGACCTGCCAGCCTTCTCCCTTACCGGCGCGTATCATATCCTTTGCTCAGAAGCAGTCAAAAAGGTTGCTTCAATATACAACATTCTCCAGTTGACCACCTTCCCGACGGAACTGGTCGAGCGGATTCGGTCATACTCTTCAGGAGAACCCATTTTCTGGAGGGCTGTCACGGCCTTGACAGTGGCTTTGTCTCTCTCCATCTTCCCGACCATTGATGAACAACGCGTTGAACTAACCAAGTTATGCCATTGGGAAAGAGGGGGCACAATACAAACTTCAGGTTCCGAAGGCCGCACCACCGATGTCCTCCGCATCACCTTCGATATAGATGGAGTCCGCAAGATTGAACGGTTTCCACGATGGCCCACCTGCGAAAAGCAACCAAGGACAGATGGAAGATTTTCTTGGGTTGTATTGGAAATTGACGGCAACGAAATCCGTGACAAAACGGCCTATTGCCAAGACGGTCTCCTTCGATTCAGCTTTGATGACAACGGCCGTGCATATGTTCACGAGGATTTACCCCTGATCTGGGACACGCCTACACCTCCAAACCTAGATAGCATTGAGTACGTCGCGGACAAATTCCTTTTTCCGATTGCAGGGGGGCATGGCGGCTCCTTTGCGGCGGGGCACTTGATCAACCTCGACTCTATATCCGGCCTTACCTTCGTGTACGAGGGCAAAATGCTCATGGCAATCCATTCGCACTGTGGCGACGAGATTAACAACTTCGGCATTCCTGTCGGGTCCCGCAACAGTCAACAACAAGCCTGCTTCTTCCTTCCAGTCACTGAAAATGACAATATTATGGCCATTGGTATAGGAAACTTCCCAAGAGCGTTCGTAGTAGTTGTAAGTATCTTCATTGCCCACCGACCGACCACCGCCATCTCGGCCATCGCCGTTTTCCCTTCTCTGCCTCCCACTTACTTTGGAGGAGCCACATCTCCAATCTCTCTTCTTCTTGTTTCTTGCCTCCTGACCCTCTTCGTCTTCTAGGTCAAGAAGCGCCTGTCTGGGCTTACTGTTATTGGCTTGCCATGCCCCAATACCCTTACACCTCAGGAATACTCGGAAATGGTATATGATGATACAAGATGGGAGTTTCTACAAGGACCCACACTGGACGACGAACAATATTTCCGGTCTTATTTTTTCCAATGGGGCGCGAAAGAGCCTCAGGCACTGCTATATGGTTTCTCCGGTAAGGAAAACAAGCTAGACTTGTTGGGAGGCTATCGCTACGATCCATCTGAGAACTGGGTCGATGGGGAAGAGGCGTTTATGGAGCCGACGATTCCGCATCGCTGGCCCCCAACTAATCTCAGTAGGGACAACCAGGAAGACCTCCTCTTCTATACCTTTGCGCCTCTCTTGGGGGTTTCCGCTGTCCAGATGTTTTACAGTAGGAGATTCGTCCCCCGTGGAGGAGAGCCTTTTTGCTCAGGTATCATCTTCCACTACGAGGACGGAGGCTCAAAGGTGGTTGGGGAGGTTCGACTTATCACGGACCGAGCTAGTATTGCGGGTGAAACGATTATTAATCCTAAGCAGATATGTTTGGAGGGTCCGGAACGTCAAACTCCCACCAGCCAGAGGATTCACTTCTTGACGGAGACCGACATCGAGAAAGGCGTACACCCCGTCAAGCCATGTCCCTTCGGGATTAAATGTACTCGTTTTCCGCTAGTCCACGAAAGTATTTGCTACCCTATGGAAGGCACGATTGACTGGTGGTTTACTGCGAGCGAAAGGATGCTGGTGGAGATACGGAAGCCCGAGCAGGTAGATGTCCTGGAGGGAGAGTTATCGGAACTGGGCACTGATACCTACTGAGGAGGTTGGGGTCACCTAGTTTTGTGTAAACGGATATGAAAACCAACGGGGAAACTTTTGAGAGTAGATACAAGAAGCTTAGGTAATTGAGCCAATGAAACATGTACCGTGAACTGGAACACGAGAAGTGAAGGGAAAGATGGAAGAGATGAGACCGATGGGATACAAGACAATAAGACAGAAAAAGGAAGTAGAAAGGGAGGAAACCCACCCAAAATCGCCGCCGTCGGCGATCGCGCGATTTCTTTGCCAAAGTCACAGTTCCCACAATCCAAAACACTACATGGAAACTGATCCAAAGTCGAAAAACCACGTGAACATCTCAGAGTTACAGTCCACTAGGATTTCGACTGTGAGTAAGCACATTGCAGACAGGAGAATATAGTCGTGGAATAGATAAACCGGATATCATTCATTTATGGTGTCCTGATCCACAGGCCAATAACATAGCATACGGTTCACACAAGTGTTATACGCTCGCTATCACTTGTCGGCTCCCAACTAGAATCCATGTGCTCCTTCACATAACAGTTCCCCACAAGTATCCAGAAATGATGTACGATCGGATGTGACGTATAATTTCGAATAACAAATGGGGTTCTGAGTCCATGTATGACACATATAGAATCTCCTTCCTTGACATGAGCAGGTCTCACCCCAAGCCTACCATCCTCAGTTTCAAAGAGCGATTTGTTATGGCAGAGGGCAAGAACGTGAGTTGCAAAACGACCGACCGTATCATTAGTGTCGTACGTCACACTAAGGCTCTCAGATTCATACTGCTCCGCATTTTCAACTCTTTCCTTCCACTTGTCAAATGTACTGACCAGGTCATCCTCGTCCACCGTGAAATGCTGTTCCTCTTGCCTGATGACTCCTATGTCCCGCCCATCTTGCTTCTCCATGACAATCCCTGAAACAAATTCTCTTAAATTCTCACCAGTATAGCGCTTTGACAACATAAAGATGTCTTGGATGATCTTCCTATCGGTACTGGAGAATAATCTCTGAGGCACATTTGAGATGCGGTCTACGGAAGTAGCCCAGACTGTAAGCCTCTTGGAGGTTCCATCCATTCTCTACCTGTACCCGCTGTGGACAAGTGCTTTGGTAGACTCATTCCAGAAAGACAAAGGCTTTGCCCTGTTTTGTATTCTCCAATCAGGGATCTATGAAGGACAAGTCCAGTTGGAACCGCTTGAGTGAGACAGTCGACTGGCCAAAAACGAGCCGAGGCCTGCGTAATGTAGGATATCCAAGCCCGCGTGTTGACGGTAATCGAACGGCTCCACCAACTGTCGAGATTCTCGTAAGTTCTCATTCCACTGTAGATAACCTACAGCAAAACAGTAGTAGAGATGCATCGGCGAGATGTTGTACTCTGGTAAGAACCATCCATTACTAAATCTCCCAGTGTTTGCCATGCCAAGGAGTGCAATGAGTCGATTGTGATTATTGCTACAATCCCAGGTCTGGAACTCATGTGCCAGTTGGAGATATGATAACGAATGCACCCAACAGTTTGCTCGTGTTTCCTCTCTGATAATAAATTACATCGTTCGGTCAAGGGCTTTGAAGAGATCCAACGCTGTTCCGGGCTTTCCACTCAGGTGATTTTAGCGCCCTGAAGAATTCGCTGTCGGATAGTGTTGCAGAGCCGCAGCGAAGTTGGACCTTATCCGCCAGAACTAGCTCCTGAATAACCCAGAGCCTCTTGAACCATGGTCGGTAAAGAAGCCCCACGCAGGCGAGCCCGGCGCTGTTTCTCTCATATTCAAGGGGATTCACAGAATGGTCTTCTTGACCAGTCGTCCACTCCAGCTTCAACCTGCGACACAAAGCCTGGCCCAGTGTTGCCTTTTCTGGTTCTGACGAGTTGAGAGAGAAGTATCGGAAAAGATCCATGGCCTCGTTACTATCAGAGTCGGCTGGGCCTAACCATCCGATTACGAGTCTTGCCTGGCTGAAAATTCTCGACATCATATGAACCTGGGAAGTCTTTTCAGAGTCGTCTGTCTGATTGATGCAGACTTGGTCGATCCATAATGACAGCCCTCCAGCGTTTGCTTCGTCCAAAGAAAGTTCTCTAAGCGCGCCGAATAGTATCTCCGTGATAGGCAACGTGTATGAGTCGTTGAGGGTAATTGAGTGCGTGTACTCCGGAAGACCCCAAACGTACGAGACAGCAGCGTAGCCGGGGGTTTGGTCTAGGCGAATAGTGATCAGGCGACCACGAAGAACGACGGTCGACGCCGAAGTGTCCAGCGGAGAGAGCTCGAGGATGTGTGCCAGGTCGCTAGAACCTGTTATAGGGAGCTGGTGCCTCAACGGACTAAGCGCCGAACACCTGGGTATTGGGGGGGCCACCGAAGCACGCCGGATAACGCCGAGCGACGAATAGCCACTAGCCATAGTGTGGCGTCGGGCAGCGACGAATGTTCTGATTTTAAATTTTCGGATACATTTTTAGAACCGTTTAAAATTTTCGAAGTCGTCAGTAATAAAAAAATAGCTTACTGTTATAATATCCTTAACCACTACTAAATCTACCCTATTTTCTTTATTACCCTTTTCGAACAGCCTTAGTGAACCAAGCATAAAGCAAAAAGCCAAAGTAGGCTTCACCACATTTGTACTTGATGAGCCGTTGGCTGTTACTGAAAAGCTCTGCACCCAGTGTCGTGAAAATGACTCGCACACGACTAAGGAACTGAAATCTGGAACAGAAAAACAGTCTCGGTCAGATGAGCCTCCAACTGACATCCCATACAACAGAAAACGGTAAGCGGCATGCATACCAACTTTAGGGAACGATATGTTGTTACCCTTTCGGGTTTGCTACTACACGAGCAAAGACTCGTGACCGAAACACTTTGTGTGTCCAACAACATTATGACCGGTGGACGATGTGTTAAGGTTGGTTGTTACATCACCTTGAGCCGGCCGCTGTAACGGGCGCTGCCGGTTCTGGGACTATCTAGCCCAGCCCGGGGCTGTTTATGTCCTTTTCTCCTCAGGCGCGGGTCCATGCGAACTCGATCCTAGGATTCTCTAATCGCTCTCCACGTGGGAGTGTCTGGCGTGAACTTTGGCTCGGAATATAGGTTCTTCTCAGTTTGAGAAAATACGTTCAAGAACTCGTGAAGGGGTGGGGTGGTACCTGAATCCTCGAGCTCCAAGGAGAATCTCCCTCGTTTAACGATTACCAAAGTAACAATGCATTGTGATATATCTCATCTCCAAATAACTTTACGTCTTTTTTTGGTGTTTTTTTCAGGACAATGAGGAGGAGTAAGTGGGACCCTCGTTGGATTCTTTGTCCGGCGCGGTCGTTCTGGTCGAGTTTCGTTATCGAGACTTATACTGGACACTGACCCGTAAAACCTGCCTCGGATGACAGAGTCATACCAGCATGAAGCTGCCATAGCAGTCGTAAGACAAGGCAGATGTGACGAACCGTTACAAGCACAGGAGTATTATCGCTGGGATAGAACAATAAAGTAACGGAGTAGTAGCCGAAAGGTACTGGTAGATTGTGATAGCTATTGCTTGCTAGAGATCCGGTAACAAGAGGCCTGGGAAGGCCTTCTTTTATACCGGCCTTCCTGGACCCGACATACCGGACCCGTGGACCCGAGCCTTTCGGGTCCTCCGATACGGACCCGGGGACCCGAAGCCTTCGGGCCTTCGGGTCCAATCTGATTGGTCCGTCTATCTAGCTAGCTTACATAACTCTGGTTGGATCGTAACAGCAGACAAGGCGATCTAGTGTTTAGGCAACTGAGCTTGTTGGGCATCGCAGAGCGACAGTGAATACTGGTCCTATACATCAGTAAAAGAGCCTTGAAACTTGAACCAATCGAAGCAGGTGACTTACTCGTAACTATCGTAGCTCAGGTCACTTCATTGCCCTTTCAAGCTTCAGCAGTAAGTAAGCATCAACCTCGAGTCCAGGTAGACTTGCGCGTCCTATATATATCCACAAAACCAACCGTCTAGCTGTCTTTAACGCAGGAAGACTTTCAGATTGCTCGACGACGAGGGTAGGTAGTAATGATATCTTTCAATAGACACCATCTAAAAATAACCGACGGCACACAAGCCTCTTTGTCTTCGCTTCCACCACAACATAATGTTTCCATTGTCTTCATTGTTGAGCAAGCTCGACAAACTCTCGACAAGCCGATTGACAATGACAACAAAGGATGAACCCCACAACAGCAAAGACCGAAGCGTGTCCGTATAAATCCTGTAGATGCCGCGACCGCATAAGGGGGCTCCCGCCCCCCTGGAACTGAACAGATCGATTGATTGTCCGACCGACATTGTTTGAACAAAAACAGGAACAGGAACAGAAGCGGATTATACCCACACGATAGCTACAGCAAGCTCAGATTGACCAAGTGAACAACACTATTGAGACTTGAACAGCAAACAAGCAAAGCAACGAAAAGAAACGCCACAACAACATAGAAAGAAGAGAGAGAACTCACCGTTCCCGTCTTACAGGCCGGGAGAGCACAGCTACCTTAGCTTACTAGCTCCAAAGAGAGATTCCAACAGCCTTTTCACATAGCCAAAGCGCGAAAACAGCCAGTCCAAGCTACACCATGGACGGCGACCAACCATCCCCGCCCAGGCCCCGGGGTCGTCCAAGAAGAGACGCCTTCGAGGGTCCACTACCTAGGCCCAGAGCTTGGGCCGACCCGAACCTCCCACGTCGTCAGACGCGCGCTCAGCGTCTTCAAAAGTTGGCGGATGGAAACGTCCCCCTTTATGAGATTGGAGACGATGGCCAAGCACGACTAAACAACAGAAATCAGCTTCGCATCCGGAATCTTCAGCTCTTGGCCGATGGGAACATCCCGCAACTGGGGCTTGGGGATGATGGAGAGGTGGTAGTGTCAAATCCAGGGCAAGGGCAAGCCGGAGCCTGGCAACAACAACAACAGCAACAACAACCAGTACCGCCCCCAGAGTCTCAGCCGGAGCCTCGGCCCGAGCAAGGAGGGGAAGAAAACCTCGAGCCGGAAGGAGGCGGTCAGGAGGGCGGAGGATCAGGAGGATCGGACGAAGACCCAGAGCGAGGCCGAGGAGGGGGAGGTTCAATTCCAGATGGAGATGAAGGTGCTGATTCCAGCGATGGTAGTTCGGACTCTGAGCCAGAACTAGAGCAAGAACCAGAACCAGAACCAGCATCTCACCCCCAAACTCCAAGTCCCCATCCTCCCCATCCTCAAACGCCTCCCCAACAACAACCACCACCAGCAGGCTATCACGCCCTCGCTCTCAATCACGGGCCATCTCCCGCCCACGCCCAACCACCTCAACTTCCACAAACACCACCACCACCCTTCCATCAAAATTTTGCGCAAATCAATATCAATAACTGGACTCCCGGAATTATCACCCCGCCTCCTCCTCCTCACGGCAGTGTTCAAGTATCACCCGCTGACTCCGCCATCGATGTCCGGAGTCCTACACCTCCTCTTCCACATGTACATCTCTTTAGTCCAAACTTAAACCAGGCTTGGGACCCAGCGGACGCCGATGAAGACCATTTAGAAGACGAGGATGACTCAGAAGATGGAATTTTTGGACTAGGTCATGGAACGCCCGGCCCGGGTCTGCCTGGTTACGTTAACCCACAGCCGCCCTCTCCTCTTGAGCTGAATGCGGGCGCGGACTGGGCTGGGCTTCAGGAGGAGGGCAACAATGGTAGTCCTCCACGACATTATCCTGTCCCAGCTGGGTTTGTACCAGGGGGTTGGGGTGGTAGCTTTGTCGGTATCGGGCAGCAGCAGCCGGGGCCTCAAGTAATGCCGGTTCTGAGTTATAATGGGGCGAGCCCGGAAGAGCAACCACGGGACGGTAATGATGATAGGTCGGAAGAGGAGGGACGCTCTGATGCCGAGAGTGAAGGTGCAGCTGCTGCACGATTTGGTGAAGAACCAAATGACAGTTCGTCGTCGTCGTCGTCTTCTTCTTCTTCTTCTTCTTCTTCGTCGTCGGATGAGGAGGGTAAAGGTATAGCTGGTGGTTATCACCGACGAGAGTCATCTGACAGTGAAGACCCGCCAGAGGGGGGTAACCAGTACGATCACCACCCCGTCGAAGGTGAATGGTACTTCAACGATAGTGAAGAGGCGCGTGAAGATGATGACGATGATGAGAACCAGCAAGAGTTGCCGCCGTTGAATGATCAGGGGCAGCAGCAACCACAGCAGGAGCAGGAACCAAATGCTCCAGCCGGCGAAGAGCATCCAAGACGGCCTAGGTCCAGTTCGCTTCCCGACTTCGACGACGAGCAATGGGAGCGAGAGGAACAGGAACTGCAGCGCCGTAACCAAAGGAACAGACCGCTTCGCTGGTTCGAGAGGGGTCACACGGTGCGGTGCCAGCCCATCGGTGACCTCGCGATACTGCCCGAGCGGCTCCAGGGCCACGACTCCGTCGAGAATAATGCCCTTCGCTGGTCCAGGCCCTCTCTCGACTTTGGGAGGCATAGCCGGCCACCGGCGTTTCCTTCGGATTTTAGCTCTGAGGAAGAGTGGGATGACTATCCTGAAGACGAAGACGAAGAAGAAAAGGAGTCGAACAAGTCTGGTTGCACCGACTCATCATCATCATCAGTGTCGAAGTCTAGAGGAGGCTCGTCCGATAGTGACGACGAGCTTCCTCCGGTTGCCATGCCTGTGAATGGCACGAGAGTTAGCTCTGAAGGTTCTTCTTCTTCTCCTCCTCCTGTGGGACGAAGCTCGCCCATTCACCAGCGATCAACTCCTGCATCTTCTCCGCCCCCTCAAAACCCCCCTACTAGTCCCAGTCCTTCCTCTCCCAAAAAGAACCGAAAAAAGGGAAGGACTGTTCCATATCGTCTGAATCTGGCAATCAAACTCCATGGGACAGGGCGGGCCGACTGGTGGCGTGATCGCGAACTCGATCTAGCCGACGACATGGCCGCTCGAACAGCCCGCTCAAATGCGCCTCCGCCATCAGCTGGCATCACGACGGCCACCACTGCCGCAGGAAACGCCAAATTAGGTCAAAAACAACAAACCCAGACCGGCAACACAAGCAAAGATGCCGTCCCAAAACCTCAAGAGCAACAACAACAACGCCCAACAACCCCAATCCGCAAGCCCCCCCTCCGCCGCAACAGCGCCGGCCCCTTCCACCATGCCGAATACCCCTCCACCACCGTCTTCCGGGAAGACTTCACCTTCGTCCCGCGCGACGGCCGCCGCTCAGGTCCCAACAGCGTCTCTGGCGATGATGGTACTTCCAGAACCATACCCGACTACATCGGCCAAGGCGACCAGGACATCAGTCCACAAACCAAGAACCCTCCCAAAGTTCCCCAGACAGGCCACGTCGTACCTGGCACGCGCGAGGCGAGGGTGCAAGTTGGCGGCAAAGGGTTCCCGCAGGTTCACAAAGATAAGGGGGTGAAGGTGTGTGATCCGGGTGATGCGTATGTCTCGGAGGAGTCTTCTAGCGATAAAGAGGAGGAGGAAGTGGAATCGGAAGAAAAAGAGAAGATTCCGACCAGAAGCAAGCCAAACCCTCTTCGGCTTTCGAAGATCAACTGCCCCGCCTTTTCGACCGAGAGTTACCTGGAGAGACAGAGACAGGAGCAGCAGCGTCAGCGAGAAGATGAGCGTCGACAAGAAGCCGAAGAGAGAGCAGGAACTTATTACCAGTACAACCCCCGGTACGACCTGGGTTACACCGGCGGGTTCACAGGCAGCGCCATACCCGCGTGGATGAGTGGCGCCGGCGCCGGAAGAGGGTCGGATATTTCATCGCTTCCGAGGACTTCATGGATCAGTCAGGCGTTGTCATCGTCGACTGCTAGCTCATCGCTCGCTCAAACCTCTGCTTCCACTTCTGCAAAGCGAAGTTTTTCTTCCATCTCGGATTATGACGATGATGACGACGATGATGACGATGATGATGATACCGATGAGTCGGTCGGTAGCTTGGCGAAGAGACTTCGCTTATTTCCTGAGCCTTCTTCTGCCTCTGGCTCTGGCTCTCCGAAACGGGCACGTCCTGCTGATGAAGACGAAGACAAAGCGGAGGAGGGTGAGCGTGAGCGTTACAGCAAGCGGCCTCGTACGGAGACACCTAGAGCTAATGCTTTGGGTGCCAACTTTGTGGGTTTCGGCGGCCAGCAGCAAGCGGATGCCGCAGAGAATGCGCAGGACTCAGCAGCTGAGATGTATGACCCAGCGATGATCGAAGACGAGGAATATGATCCAAGGACCGTTGGACTACCTCGCATCTACGGCGGCCCGGGTTCGAGGCCCAGAGCGAGTAGTGTCGCTGGGTCGGCCCAGAGCCACCGCCGCCGATCGAAGGAGTATGACCCGGTAACTGAACCGGAGGAGGAAGGGTATGATCCCAAACATCCTTCTTCTTGAGTTTGTCGTCCTCGTTGGAGACCACGGCCAGTGGTGAAGATGGCGGCAAAGGAAGCTGAGAACCCAAGACTTACCGGAAGCATTTCCTGCCCAAGGAGGGCGTGATCAGAAGATCGGGCTGTTGAACCGAGGGATCCTTTAAGAGTGATTAGTAAATCACCATCGCATCGAGTCCTTCGATGGCAACACAAAGAGCTAGCGTGATAATACCAATACGAAACAATGGGAAAAGAGGTGATCATGATAAGAGGCGTTTTTTTAGAAGAGGGAACGCAAATAGATAGGTAACGTGATGCAGCGAGGCAAGTCCTGCAGTTTCACGTCAGTTTAAGATCAGCGTTTTAGAAGGAATTAAGGATTATGGGATACAAGTAGAAGGTGTTTCTGTTTGGTGTTTTTGATGGGTGCAATTTGTGATTCCGCTGGCCGGGAAGAGGGTAATGCACCTTGCTTTTTTTGTTTGAGCCGTGTTGTGCATATTTGGACATAAGAGTCTTGATATTGGATATTCTTGTCACCTCGTTGTACAATAGCCTTGCGTCTGTGCATAAGCTTGCCTCGCATTTTCTTCCATGTCTCCTTGGGTATCTCATTGTTGACCACGTTGCTCGGGCATAAGCCTTTGTGGTCGGACTCGCCCTTGGTGTTTGCAAGGGAGTCTCCTAATTCTCGGTCACCGCCCTCAGGCGACCGTTGATCATCCCTCTCTTCTCTGTCCCCCTTCTTTTTTGGCCCCTCGTCAGAAATTCTCCCATGCAACCTTTTTCAAAGGCCCATATCCTCATCACTATCCTCATCCCCATCGCCACCATACTCCCCACCCCTCCTAGCCTCCTCTTCCTCCTCTCTCCTCGTCGCCTCGGCACTAGCCCCGATCTTCCTCACACCGTCCACCAAGCCCGCCAGGAAGGCTCTGTTCTCAGCCAACTCCATAGCACCCACACCACGCAGTGTCAACCAGGCATCACCGAAGCCCTCCAACGCCGACGTACTGCTGCGCATCTTGGCCGCACGCACCTCCACCAGATCCCTTAGTAACGAGCGCACCTCGCCTGCCGGGGCGGGCATATCATCGCCGGCGTGCGTGAGCAAGGCCTCAGCCACCTCTAGCCAGTGGTAGGGGAGGTATCCAGCGGGTGACTCGGCAACGTTCGAGGGAAGGAAGGGTGGAGATAAGATGGAGTTCGGATCTTGTTGTTGTTGTTGTTGTTGTTGTTGTTGTTGTTGTTGGGAGTCTTGTTGTGATTGCGTAAAGTCATCGAGATAGCTGGCGTGGTGGTTTAGCCGGCGAGCGGTGCCGGGCTGGGAGTATAAGGCGCGCGAGGGCGGAGGTGGTGGCGCGGAGAAGGCTTCGGGGTCTTCTTTTGTTTCGCGGTGAATGATCTCAGCGAGGGAGGCCGGGTGCATCCATGCTGGAGGAACGATGTTGGCGCGGCGCTGTTTCTTGAGGAGGAGGGCGAGCCAGAGAGGCAGTTGGGCGCGGTGGGGAGGACGGAGTTGTGGTGTTTTTCCCTGTTGTTGCCGAGTGGATGGTCAGTCAATTGGTGTTCCCATAATCTGGGACAGGTTGAGCGAAGACAAACTTACACCAAGAAGATCGATGCTGTCCAGGCGCTGACGTGGGACGACGGTTACCATTTCCATCTCGGCGAGGAAGGCGACCTCGTTCTGGGTCAGCCCTGGGGGCAGTGGGAGCGCCATTGTGTTTTTCGTGGTTATGTAGCTAGGTCGTAAAAAAAAGGGTATCACCTCATTGTCGCTCGGTTTCAGCCTCCGCTGCCTCGACTGAGTGTTCGGCCGAGTCGTGAAGGTGTGGAAATGGATGTACTGGCGCAAAGGTTGGAGTTGACGAGATCAAAGAATCGCGTCTCCCGTCCCGAATTCCTGTGACGTTTTGGGCAAGACCACTCAGTGGGAGACGCGCCCGGGCCCCCAGAATTCGCGGGGCACATATGCCCACTTTAACAGGTGTTTTATAGTGCAGCTCCCAGGGCTGCAAGGGGTGTTCCCGGTGACCCTCAGCACTGTTCCCTGCACCTCCGATCATCCCTTGCTCTGGTCAGTTCATCTGGGTTAGGGTTCTGAGTAGAAATGATATCACGACTTTGCTCCCCCCCAAGACATGAAACTTCGACTTTTCGCCATGATTGTTTTGATACTGGTCAGCCCAGTGGTAACCGTCCCCGAATTGACAGTTCATGGTCTACAAGCAAGAACATTTATTCTTACAAAACATTATCGGTTCGTTATGTGTTAGCTGTACTCTTGCATCTGCCCGAGATCCCTCCCAAACTACCACAACCCTCACAAGAGCAAAATGTAATGGCTATGACGGCTCTGAAACGTATTGGCAGAATTCAATAAGGCCTATGCAAAGCAAGATCATAGCTTACGTATCGAACGTAACGTACAGATCAGATACCTAAACTCTTGGGAAGGCCGACCAGAGTCCAGAGGTCTCGAACTAACAGACAAACCAGTATCAGCCTCGACATCGAGACCTAACAGTATTTCTGAACATAAATCTCAATTCGTGCTGTGTCTACCTCAATGCTTCGTATACTACATAACCATGTCATCATGTCGTGAATTTCGATTCGCCGGAAAAGAGAACAGAGACGCCGTCGCTAAGCTGAAAGCCAAAAAAAAAGACGAGCCATGAGAAGGAAGGAAAAAAAGAAGCAAACATTTTGCTTGTAACAGCAACAACCAGGTGATGTCCCTCACCACCGCCACCACCGCCACCACCGATGTCAAATCTTCTTACTCCTCTTTTGCTGTTTTGCCAGTCCATGTTTCCGCTGACGGTGGCGGACGAGATGATCTTTCCTAGCAAAGTCCCTTGGGCAATGCGGGCAAGGGAGTCGCGCGGTCGAAAGGGCATGTTTCTCTGCTTGGTCCTTGTGCTGAGCTATGATATGTCTGTCCAGCTCTGCCTGGTAGGCATGACCCTTACCGCAAATGGGACACGCTTCCGGCTTGTCCTTTCTTCGTTGACGTCGGCTGTGATGGATGGCGTTAGTGACCGGACTGAGAGCGAAAAAAAGCATAAAATCTAATCGTGGTTTTACTTACGCAGGTAACTTTGGACTGTGGCCTAATTGATCTGTTGATGCTGGCTGCCCCTGGTTCTGAGCCTGTCCATGGAACGACTCTGGGTGTGCTTGACGGTCCTTGGGCAGTCGGCCGTCCATAAGCTCAACTGGCAAGCCTGGCACCGCGTCAGTCAACACAGCCGGAGGCTGCGCATCCTGAAGCTGCGATCCACTCATGGAAGCTTCTCCGTGGTTGAGTAGGATGTATGGGAGAGGCATACTTGGCGGTGTTTGCTCGACAGATGCAGGGGAGTCTTGAGATGGCATGGGTGAAAATCCGAGAGAGGGAGGTTGAGAGTATGTCGTGGAACCAGATGGGAAGTGAGCTTGTAGTTGGTATGTTGGAGAACCAGATGGAAATAAGTGAGCTTGCTGTTCGTATGTCAAAGGATTCGCTGGAGGAATGTTGTAAGCTTCGAAATGTGGGTCAATTTCTGGCTCGGTAGTGCGCAATGTTTGTTGGCATATACCGGAGGGAAGGATGATAGCTTGGGCTTGGGATATGGAAGGGCTTTCGTTGAAGAGACAGAAGTCCACTCCTTCAAATCCCTCAGGGAATGGCCACAAGCTGCCATCAAGCCACCCCCACTGTTCGTCACCCCAAGTCCAAAAGGCTTCCCCAGAGAACATCTCTGATGAGGTAAACTGTAGTTGTTGTTGATGCATTGTGACAATTACCAAGCCAGAATCCAAAACTCGGAGACTTGCGTTGGGGTTGCTCGAGCGATGTTGTTAGTGGTTTTGTTGTAGCGCTGTTAATTTGTTTATTGTTCGCAGTCCGAGGCTTTACGGATGCAGTGTTGACCTTTTTTCGACATATCAAGGTCACGCAATCTTTACGAATCCAATCTGTTAGCTATTCATCTCGAAGCCCCTCCTAATTTTGTTGCGAGATTAGCATACCTGGTCCAAGAAAAAACGCGGGCTAATTTTCCTCCATCATCTCTTCCCTTTGGTCCCATTGTGTCGATACCAACTGACCACCTCGCTCCGGCAGAAAGCCGTTTCGTCCCGACAATCTCCGGGAAGTTAATGGTAGTGTACTAACCCCTGCCATACTCACAAGGCATCTGACTGCGAGCACGGAGGCCCGACAATCTCCATAATGAGTGACCGAGGCGTCGTACATTCTCATTGCGTTCGCCCGAGATGGTTGGAGTCCGAATGACCTCCGAAGAGCAGATGTTCGAAGTTGTGTAGACATGTGTAGAGGTAGTTGGGGAATCTGCGAAATCCGACGCCGGGTTAATCTCCTGGCATTATATTTTGCAAGTGATCTTTGCACGTACAAAGCAGTCCGGGAAGAAGATGATTTTCCTGGCTCGATGGCCCATGGTGTTTTTGGTTCTGCACAGCAGGTCGAATTGGGAATATTTGCTGTCTGAGAGAGGGCAACCAACAACGTGTATGTCGCCCTGAAGCTGGATACAAGTCGTTCGTTGAAAGCGCTCTCGCTTCGCCTCTTTCAGACAGCAAATATTCCCAATTCGACTTGCTGTGCGAGCCTTTTCGTTTCCCGGGGAAGCGAGAGCTTGTCGCTGTTGTGGTAGTGTCGCTAGAAGTAGGGTTTTGACGGATGCGTGACTTCCGCAAGCAGCGTTGGCAACCCCGGGAAGAAGAGAGAGAGAGAAGTGAGTAGGTGAGATGAGGAGAGAGGGAAAGAAAACAATCGCAAAAAGAGGGGGGAAGTTGTAGGATTTAAACAAACCACAGCCCCCCACTGCTACCTCGACAAGACATTGACGTTGGCTGGAGATGGCCGCTGAAGTAGGTCTCTTTGGAGTAATGCGACTTAATTGGATGGATCGGGGGCTTACACCCGAATGCGTGAATGGCAAGCTTTTATGCGCATCTAAGGCTAACTTTGGCTTGGGTAGGTCTGGCAGTTGATGATTGGTGAGCCAAGCGAGAGATGTTGGTTTGTCGACGTACCTCGTCCGGGACAAATTAACGTGGACTCCAGAGCACGATGTCAACGGAAAGTGGACAAGACACCATCGAGAGTCTGTCGGGCTATAAAGAGCCATAAGGGACTATGAAATGAATAGTAGTACAAAGGGAATGAATAGAAGTAAGGAGAGTAATGAAGACCGCTTTGGCGTTTACGGCGATGTGATCGTTTTGGTGGTCTGGCCGGACTGCAGTCTCTGTTAATTTGTCCTGGATGAGAAGGCTTGGCACTTCGTGAAGCCGGGCTGAATGTCAACAACACAAGGTACAGAAAGAGAATGACCAGGTGAGAAGATGAACTAGTTTCCAATGAGGTCTGGCGTCAAAATCTTCGAATCCGATGGTCAGACACGGAATTACTGGTCTGCGTCCGAATGTGGGCAAGAACTCATCCTCTCCTTCAGTCCTTCCTTCCTACTGCGGGTTTTTGTTCCAAGTCCAGCGGAGTCAAGCGACGGAGTGTTGCGGTTGACCAGAGTCCAAGGCCATCTTTATTGGTAAAATTGACGTCAAGACAATAACATTCTCGTGGCATGGTACTATGTTCTTCGCTATCACTCAAACACGTATTTTTCATCAATTCAGAAATCACCGATGCATCGCGTCCATGTCGACCAACGGGATGTGATGCCTCGGACAACCCTAACCCCGATTACCCTCTCTTCCTGGGCACCCTTTCTCAACCAACCCTTCCACTTCGACACTCCTCCCCAGCTCCCGCAATCCTCTTGATCATAGCCTCAAATATCCAAATTCTCCCTGTTACCGTGATGTTTGACCCAGCCATCTGGAACCCACCACCACCACATTCAATGTTTTTCAGCTCGACAGGTCTCTCAGGTGTAGGTAGGCGGGGTCGGCAAGGAGCCGCATGCGGCACAGTTTCACGTTCACCAACCTAAAGTTCCAGGTCCTCCAGGTCACTAATACTAGCGTCCATGGTTTCACCACGCGAGTTGCGGCACGGATCGTAACCCGTTGCACATAGCACATGTTCCAATGACGCCCTGTTTCCAGTTTCCAATGATCTTGATTCCACTTCTTTGACTACTAGACCTACCATAGTTGTGCACTGCCACCCGTTTTTTTAACCAGCTATGGTACTAACCCAAGCCCACCTATGGGCACCTATGGGCCCGCAACAAAAGCGAGTGGGGGAATGGGATTGGAAAGAATCTAGGTGCCTGTTTCACCGTGCCGCTGGGTAAGGGTTGAAGAACGTTTTTTAAAGTCCAATGTGCTGGCTATCATGGATTTGGAATTTGGAATTTGGACGCAGAGTTTGAGAGTTTACATGGAGATATGATGTTACTGAATGGTACTGATACACTGTTTGTCTAAGTCTAGGGTTTCAACCGCAGCAGTACTGGTAGTTACTAGTTTCCGGATGCCTGGGAGTTAAATCTTTTGAGGCGGATTCGAGGGAACTTTTGACGACATGAAAGTGATTCTATGCTATAATGAGTTTGTTCAAGTTTATCATCTTGTCATGAACTAAAGTCGCACTGTCCACTGTCCAATGGCTGTGAGATGGGTGAGTGATGGGTGAGTGAAATAGGTGACTCAATGAGTGTATATCCAGCACTGATAAAATAACTTGGGGTAAACACCGCCATATCACATGTTAAGGAGGGTAACACTAAGTAGGCAGAGGAAGCCGTAATACCGATCTGCAATATATCAAAGCAGCGGTGTAGGAACAAAGATGTTTTGTAATCCGGCCGGATTGTGATATTGAACTATACTAGTTTCTATCAAATATGACAGTGATGGTAAAAGGAACGTGGGAAGTTAAGGAAAAAACAGAGTGGAAAGGGACCAAAGAAAACAGAAATGGTAACAAGAAACGGTACAAAAGGAAAGCCACAACCCAAATCACCAAACACCCAGTCCTAGGGGAGTGTCAGACCCATCTAACCCAGGCGATGAAAAGAAGAAATTCACCACCATCACCACACCCCCTATCTCCGGCAGCCTGACAAAGGCAGCCATGAGAGCGATGAGACTCTGCTATATAGAGTCATGCAACAACAGGGAAAATCAATATGCCACGCCCATCACTCCGTTTTCTTGCAAAAAGAAACCAGTTGCGCCAAAGAAATCCGGTAGAGGAAAAACAAACCATGAGTTGCCTCGTAGAGATCTGATGGAAGCTTGTATGAGAGGCAGTTTAGTGTCTCGAACTGCTGCTGGAGCCCTTCTGTGATTATCCTATTATTAGCGCCTGGTCTATGGCTAGCTATCAGAGTATTGTATTGGAGAGAAACTTACCGAGCTACCGTGGGAGGAGCTGCCGGACTTGGACCCAGTCGAAGAACCCTGAGAGGAACCACCGCGAGAGCTGGAGGACTTGGAGGCAACGTCCGTCTTGATGAAGCCGAGGGCAGAAGAACCCATGGCGATGGCGTCCCAGTTGGTCTTCCCGGAGGAAGAGCCGTGGGAAGAAGAGTGGCCAGACATTGTGAAGTTGGTTTAGAGGTGGAAGTTGGGAGGAAAGATTGTGTTGTTGAACTGATGTCGAGTGTTGCTGAGTGTATGTGTCTTTTTTGTGTGATGGTGTTGAGCGACTGTTGGATCGATGACTCTTCAGTATATGTTGATGTTGGAGCTGTTTGAGTAGTGCGATGATCCAAACAATCTGCCCCAAGGTGTTGTCGGCCATCTTTATATGACTTTGACCTTCAGAGACAAGTATGTGCCCTTTGCATCGCCATCTTGATAAGGCCGAGTACAGGTATGGCATACAGCATGGTAGAGTGGTGTTGTGTCGAAACCGAATGGGGCCGGTTTACAGTCCGAGGAAGCGGCTTCTACCAAGGTCAGTTGTTGTTGAATACACCATTGATACGTTTTCCTCCCTTGACTGACAACGGAAGTGAGGAAGTAAGTCCGGGCCGGTTCCAATATGGTGACCGAAAAGGTTCAGGAAAAGAAAGTCCCTAAACCGCAGTATTACATGCGATTGGTCAATTCCCATGTCAGTGGTAAAAAAAGATCGCTAAAGGCGTAAGGAGGCTCGTGCGGTGATGTTATGGTGGGGAAAAAATGCCCAATATCTTTCGCTGCCTGATTCAGGAGTCATAACATCAAGACGGCCATAGCCACAGTGTTTCCATTCACGTTCTTGGGTTGTTCAGATGTGAAGTCTTATTGCGAGATCAGATAAGAATCAACCTGACAGGAATTGTAGACTTTTCCCTGAATGATCATCATCCAAAACACATGACGACTTGGGTTTGACTCCATCGCTTGACAAGTCGGCGGCGTCCATAAGATGCAACTGGCAACACAGCAAAACCCATATTTCGACCCTAAAACCGGTCGGTTTTTTTGTTTTCTTTCTTTGGGTCTCTTTCGTCCCAGTTCATTGCTGTATGGATCGAATCGTCGTGCATTGAGTTGATCGTTTGTCGATACCTCTTATCACCTAACAACGGTGAAGTGGAAGTTTCCGCCAAATTTCGGATCGTGAACCTTGAAAGAGTTGGGGGCGTGATAGTAACCAACTCGCTGGGCCGTAACACTACCAGGCGATGAACGCTACTAGAAGCGTCCATTAGGGGCAAATTGGCCCTGTGGCTGTCGTCACTGGGCCAGTGGTTTAGGCACCCGCTTTAGTTGGTAGTCATGACCAAATGCACGGACGCATATGCTTTTACCGTCCCGTCTTCCCATCTCAGCGGCGTGAAACGTGAAATCCACGTCGAACTGCACCAAGAACGGATATTCTGGGGGATGGAAGATCTAAGCCTGTGATGGCTAAGGCACATTGTCCAAACAGAACGAGTGTAATATTGAAGCCTAGTTCTTTCAGGCGAACGATGATGGCTGGGCCGATACGTCCGTGTCTGCGGAGGCTGTTCCGGAGTCCGAAGTCCCAGGGTTTCCGGAGTCCGAGCCCGGCACGCGGCTCAGCCCTACGATTTCACCAGTACCGACTCGACTCATTTCGGCCTTCCTCCTGTTCGCCTTACCGCAGGCGCGCTATCAAGCTTCCGCGCGCTCGTAGGGCTGCGTATGACATGTCAAGCAGCAGAAAAGTTTCTTGCCGTTCGCAATTTCGAGGTTCCCTATAGGCTGTAACTTGATGTTGCACATGTTGCTCAACAATTTTTTCTTCAGTGCTTGTATAACGATGGTAACCTGAGCCGTCAGTCACATCGGTATTCGGATATTCCTATGGCTGAAGAAAGCTCATATCATCCATCATTGTTTGCCACCAATCGTCGCCTAGGAATGACATCGGCGTCAGTGCATCAGCGAGCGCAGGGTTCCCGGGGTCTGCGATCATCTCGGTAGCTGGCATTGCTTGTCCCTGGTATTGTGAGTCCGGCTGGGGCTCCAGCGGATTATTTCCAGTAGCAGCAGGATTGGGCGCGGCAATCTTGGAGAGATACCACGACCGAATCCATCGGAGCTTGTCGCGGTGCATGGCCATTACTGACAGAGTATCGTTGACGTATTTGCGCTTTCGACGCCATTCTTCTGCAATGGCCACGTTGTCCGCCTGATCACACCGCTCACTGAGGCGTTGCGTTATGCCGGCAAAGTCAAGGCTCTCGCCGGCGAGCTTGTTATTCCAATCCGGATCTTGCAATATGACCAAGCGTGCGGCGGTTATCAGGGCGAATGTCATATGACAGTAGGTGTTGAAGGGTAGATAACTGAGGTCCGCTACGGGGTATGAGGCGTACACATCCAATGATGCTTTGACAGCATCTAGGCAGCACCACATTGCTTCTGACTTTCGGATGCCGTCAACGGAGGAAACTGACGATGATGTCATGTATATCACGGGTTCGTATAGCCTGGCGAGTATGCCTTTGAACGCAATATCAAAAGACACTTGAAGCCCATGTCAGCAAATTGAATCCATTCGGTGGTCAATCGGGTCGTACGTACAGTTGTCCCAGAGGTGCTTTGGTGCTTGCATTTTGAGGTCCTCCAGATCAGCACGCAAAGTTGTCATGGCCATGTGTGCGGCTGCTGAGAAGGTCATGGTGCCGCTCCCATCCGAGTCAGGAGGCGGGAAAACCGTCAGAATCCTACAAACAATGCGTTGCATTCGAACGAGAATTACCAGATACGTGTCCTCCATGTACTCTGCCTCTGTCTCGATCTTTTCACAGCAAAAGGATATGTAGCTGGAGCAGGGAATCACGGGAATATGTCGAAATAAGGCCGCAGCGCTATGACATGTATTTTTGTTAGAGCCAGTTCATCAAGACCAGTACCAACAGCACCAGGGAAGGTGTTAACATAATCCCGCAGGGCCCAAACTTACAGTGAACTGACATAGAAGCATCCGAGATAGGCCCGCATATCTTCTAGTGTATGAGCCGGCCGTCCTTTGAAGCCGCTGAGACGTCTCGCATCTTCCACAAATTGGTTTGCACCATTGACGACATGTTTAGAGGGTTTGTGGCTGTTGAGGCCCAGATCTACTACCAGTCCAACTGCCAGCTGGTGTAAGGTTGTCGCCCACGATTCGGCGTAGTAATGGGACTCGCTCCTTTGCACAGACAACGCCGATAGTCAACAACCACAGATCACGAACGGTCACAAAGGGGTGAGTAAACACTGAAAATCAACCAACCAGGCAATGAAAAGCAATATGCCTTGTAGCAGGTCCAATCCCTTCTCCTGCTTGACAACGACATGGGTTGCAATATACTCACGAAACCAAACGGTGAAACCACGTTGCAAAGCGGCGGTCTGTGGGGCAACGATTTGAAGGATGGTCCGGAACAAGAATGGTGCCCTCTGGAAGAGGTCTTGCGCTGTTGTATTCCGTGGGATGGGCACAAAAGGGAATCGAGGATGATAGTCGGTTTGGTACAGCTTGAGCAAGCGTTCTGCCTCACCCATGGTTATGCGCAGGCAGCCGTATGGTTGTGGAATGATATCGACATATGCCGTTGGCGGTATGTAGCTCTTTGTAGGCTCAGACGCTGGAGACGAAGTCTGGACGGTAGAAGTCGGAGTCTGGAGGGCGTTATGGTGCGGAGGCAGGCAATCCTGTGCATGCTGACCAGCACAATCTCCAAGGTGTCCATCATTGACGTGGATACAACTCATGGGGAGTATACAATAGGATTCCGAGGCCGATGACCGGTCCTGGGCTGACGCCGCCGACGTCGCCTGTTGGAGTTCAGATGTCGAGGAAGACGGTTCTGCTGCCGAAGACTGTTGTTGAATTTGTCTCGAAGCGTTCAGCAGTGAAACGAGGCCATCGATCTTTTCCTCCAGTTGGCCGACTCGAGTGGACGGTCCACGCCGTCGCCTTTCACCGTGGTGAGGCACAGTACATTGGCGTCGCAAACGAACACATCGTGTACACGCACCAACGCCCGGTTCGCCAGGCCAGATGCACTTCGTTTTCGACTTGTTGCAGTAGGCACAAGCTCGCGCTTTTTCCTTCGTGCTTGAGCCGCTCCGGTTGCTGCCCATGGAAATGTCGGCCATGGCTGATATTTTGTCGACCGAACTCTGATGGTGTGGAACCTATAGCGTACCAATAGGTAATCAAGGCGTCGGCGCGGTGCTTTAGTGGGCAATTGGACCTGACCGTTTCAGCAATTCAGAAGCGATGAGATTTCTAATCAAGGCCCAAGATCAATGGGCGAGAAGTGAAGAGTGAAGGGAAAAGTATCACCATCTGACTGAGCATCGACGGAAAGACGACTGTTTCGTGTTATTGATGATCGGGGTTGGGGTCGGGGTCGGCAGTAAATCGGGGGAAGCTGCGTACCTTACCTAAAGTCCAATGCTGGTTTGTTTGTTAGCTCGAGACCTCTGGTCAACCTCCCTAGGTATTTCGATATCTGACTTATCCGTTCTGTTCCATGAGTAAAGCGTAATGTTACCTTAGATATACTGTTTTAGGACTTTGATACGCTATACCGACTTGCCTCAATGCCCTTTTGAGCTGTATAGCACCATTCATGTCTATGGTTGTGAGGGGTTTAGGACAACTTAAGGAAGATCTCGTCCAGTAGACTAGGTGTACCCAGCTAACGAGCAAACTAGAGATGGCATTAGATTGTATGCAGTCAGCGGGCAGTTGCAGTTACAGGCATCGGCCGCCGGCTCATTTTTGCTGGCCGACTGAGTTCCATGTCGTTAGAGGTAATACAGCCCAGAGAATCACGATTGAGGAATTGAGATAGTTCCCTCCAAATATTCAGGTCTTCAGATTACCATTTCGACTCCTCTTGGACAATTTGAAGGCTCGTTTCCAACCAGTTAATGATTTGGTTAGGAAACCCAGGGCGTATTGTAAAATACACCAGACGTTGAGCTCATGTAATATTACAACAACTTCAAACATGGTGATTGGTCGATCGCGTGGACATTCGCTCGGCTGCTTCCAGCGGACCCGCTTACTTGTACATACGGTTACAAACGCACTTTCCGTTTCTGGACGTAAAAATCAGCACCCGTCGGCAGCACCTTGATCATCTGAAGCATTCCTTCCTTCTACATAAGCACCCGAGGGGAGAGAAATTTTCATGGGAAAGCTTCGGTCATCACTTCTCTTTGAACCTAATCGTTCAAGTTCAACACAGCGAAAAGAAGACAGCGGAAACTGCCAAAAAGCAAACTGAATCAATCCAGCAAACACCCATTGCTCGCTCTGCTACCTTGCAGTTCTGAATAGCACGTCAACAACCCGCACGCGCAATGTCGTCCACACTCTGTCAGTCTACCACAGGTTAACTTCAATAGCTCGTCACAGTCCACGACATCCATGAACTCAGTCACCGCAAGACAAGACGCTGCCGGAGCATCGCCTTACATGGCCTGGCCGGGGAGCACTTTGAGCCCTGGAAAGTACATCATGTCAGTATCACCTAGCAAAGGAAAAAAGGACCAGCTTGGGATGTCGGCTTACAAGAATTTAGATCCTCGTTAACCATGTTCTTGACGGCGCACTTGTTCATTGCCTGGACGTTCTGAGACTTCAACGGGCGACCGTTCTCGCAAGCGTTAAACATGCAGCTCGAATCCATGGCCTTCTGGAGCGAGTCACCCTTCCATCCAAACACGTAATCCGCGTGGGTTCCGTATCCCTTGTTGTCGCCATAGCTCAACACGAAGGGGTTGGATCCGTCTTTAGGCCACATATTGTTGAACTGGGTAGTATCCCAGAGCGTCTCGTACGCCACCTGCGGCATACGGACCGGGTGCGACGCTGGGCAGGGGCCGGCTGGGGAGAACGCCTCCTTGGCCGTGTTGTACATGTGTGACTGGTGGTCGGGCGAGTCGAGATTCTTGCCGTCCCAGCATGACGGGAAGTGGTGCACCGTCATGATGCCGCCCTTGCAGGGCTTAGTTGGGAAGTCAGGCAACTCGGGGAAGCGCGTGTTCTTGTCGGTCAAGCACACAAAGCGCAGCCCAACGTGTCCCTTGGCGTCGTTGAGACTGTTGGTGGTGGGGGAGCCGACAGTCATACGGAAGCCCTGTGTGCCCAGGAATGGTTAGTTACACACCGCTCCTATCCTCAAGCTTGAGAGCTAATTGTTGCACTTACAGGCTTGAAGGAAGTAATCTTCTGGTTTCCGTTCGAGTTAAAGTCCTGCTGCGTATAGTAGACGGTCATGCCGCCATTTATACCGTTGGGCAGAGCCGAATTCTGCATGATGGGCACACGCTTGTAGGTGCCATTCTGATGCTTGAAGAACATGACGGCCGTCCAGTAGTTGGAAAAGTCCTCGCTGAATGTGCATGTCGTGCAGGTGCCTTGCTCGCCAATGTCACCCGCCATGGAGACGTTGAAGGCATTTCCACCGACGATCTGGTGGACGTGTGACGAGGGAAGCCTGCCAGGCTCGACAAGAGGGTCAAGACGCTGGATGGTAAGGGTCGAGCATCCAAAACGAAGCGCCGCTTGTGAAGGCCCGGCGAGAGCCAAAGTGATCGAAAGCCACTTCATCACGTTCGGCGATATGCTTCAGCAGCACAAGAGCAAAAGTGTTTGATGAGCTTGGTCCAAAGAAGAAGCAAAAGAGCAAAGAACCACAAGGGATCTGGGGGACATCGGAGCATCGTTTATATCTGGCAGCACCACATCGTCGGTAATCGTTCCAAACCTGAATGGCCTCCTTAACTCTGCCGCGGAGACTTGCCGTCAATAATGGCTGTTATGGATTTCTGCTATTCATCTATTTGAAGTTAAATGCGGGGTTCCTGGGGGTTTGATCCTGTCCAAAAACAAGATTCCTTCTCCAGGCTAAAAGGCGCCTTCAATCTCATTCGAAGACCAGCACCATCAATTACACTTGCCACAAGAGGAAATGAGATGCAGTGCTGGGCTTTCCCACTGATCTGTGCTATTGGTAGGAGTGCATGTGCCGGACTCTCGCCTTGACTCTTTCCTTCATGTGGTGGAGCGCAATCTCGTCGTCTACATTGAGTGATTCCGGATTCCGAACTCATATATCCATGAGCGACCCACGGCCAATGGCCTTCTTGCAAAGTCTTTGGACTTTCCCAATCTAGAGTCACCAGGTAAGCATCCCAAGGCTGTGTTCATGCCATCGATTTCCGGCAGTGATTTGTTTGGAGCCTTGGCTTATTCGGTACTCCAGGAAGGGCTTCAACTCAATACGGTATATCAGCCATACACGATGCCGACGTGTGACGGAGTGGCTTCAACCGACAATTTTGGTTACGGATCTGCCGGGCTCTGAAAGATCATGCGTGGCAAATTGTGTTCGGATCACAAGTCACCTGGAAGACTGCTTGGCCTTCAACATCCGCCGTAACCGCTTTTTACTTGAGTCTTGGGTATCATCACTATCTCGTCAAGTCCCGAGAAGAAACACAAATGAACAGCATGGCTTCATATCACCATTCCAGGATAGCTCAGGTAAAGAAAAAATGCTTCCAATAGCAATGGAAAACAAATGACAGGTATGTACATTTGGGCTATCACATCACCCTCCTCCCTACTACAATCAAGATTCAACCTATGTGCGAGAGGGTTCATACGAACATCAAGAAGCAGGGTTATCGATTCCCGCCTCTCATGTTTCGGACATCTTGGTGGCGCCCAAATTCACGACATTCTTGCCGAGTCCATCACCTAGAAGCCAAGAATAGCACCGGCCTGCTTCGGCACGGTAGCTGCGACATTCGATGATCCAAGAAGGCTATATGAGTACGGCGGCGAATTAGCAGTCAGGCTACCTGTGGGAGCAGTGTTGCTTGCGCCTCCAAAGTCGTTGTCAATCTCGACTGCATAGCCGACTTGCTTCGAGTCCCTGCTGAGGAGAGGCTCCGTCACGTTCTTGAAGACGTTGCTTTGAACCAAAACCTGGGCACCCATCCGCGTGTTGATTGCAGTTGACATGCTAAATTGAACAGTGGTTAGTCATTGCTCCTCATGCATTCACGCATATCTGTTTTTTATGGCAACTACTGCGAGAGAGTGTCCACAATCGACACTTACTTCTCATAGTAGGAGTTGTAGATGTGTGCGGTGCCGAAGCGGACCAAAGGACCGCGCGAGCCACAGTTCTTCCAGTAGTTGTTGGCATAGGTGACATGGAGGTGTCCAGTATCTTCGGAGCCGTTACTGTCGCTGTGACCGACAAGGGAGCTCTTCCAATGGTCATGGAAGTAAGTGCTTCAATAATCGGTTAGCTCGTCTTCGACCGGCGCTTTGGGTAAGTGACACCGGATCATGCTTACTGAGAGACAGTTACCCATTCGGACCCATGGGAAACATCAAGAAGACCGTCATAAAAGTCCTTGTCGCTGACCAGAGCGGAGTAGAACTCGCAGTGGTCCACCCACACGTTGCTGCTTTCCTCGATCTTCAACCCATCTCCGTTGTCTGCTTCAACGAAGGACGAAATGATGTTCCGCAAGATTAGGTTGCTCTGCCGGCGGAAATGAAGGCCAACACCATTGAACCCTGAGCCAGGCAAACCTATAATGGTCTTGTTGCTGGCGACTCTGACCTTCTCATTGCCACTGATTACACCCTTGATGACGACAATAGCCGGAGCGGTGTTCTTCTCACTGACAGCCGCAGTGAACTGGGCCAAAGTCGAGACGGTGGTGACAGTGCCGCCTGACCCGCCAGTGGTTCTGTCCGAAGCTTGTCAGTTGTTGGCTTCTTTCCCAAGTTTGATCCGTTAGGATTACTTGCCCTCCGTTCTGGGTCGCGTAACCCAAGTCGGCTTTATCGGAAACAGTTGCCCTTTTGGCAAGGTGAACTCTCTCCTCACTATCACGGGTGGGCGTGGGTGTTGCCGTCGCCAAAGCGAACAAGGCAGTTACAGCCAAGGTGAGCTTCATCGTTCCGTCGGGGTGTTTGAGGGCTCTAGTTGTGTTCGATGCGCTCTACAGATCCCTTCTTCATCATTGGAACATCAGAGACATACATTCGTTCTGGGGCTTTATACTTCTTGGTCTGAGACCAAGAGACGTCGCTAACTTTCTCAGAATATTGTCCCAGCTTCAGCGACTGGCAATTTCCGACAACAACCTGGCATAGTCGTGCTAACTACGTTGAGTGCCTGACTCGACTTCATTCCGTCCCCAATGGAGAATTATCTCCATAATTCCCGGTCTGTTCGAAGTCCCTACCAACATGACAACAGAGCTACGAACAGGCTGCATTCATCATCCACCAAACTGGCCACAACTCATGGATCTTGCGAGAAAGGCTTTACGGTGCGGACACCGAATGTCTGGTGTTTCGGCATGGGCACGAATTGTTCCTGAATTATCCACCAATCCCCGAATTTTCCTGGACTTCATTTTTGGGTCTTGGCATTCGACACCCTCCAAGAAGATTTCTCCGAAACACATCGTTACATGCGGCATGGAGACCACTGGACGGATTTGAAACGAGCGGGAAATTATCTGCGGTCAGGGCCGACTTGACGAGGTACGGTATGCTTCGCATCCCTCGTCTCCGCTAAATCGCAACTCCTCTGTCACAAACGATGCGTGCCTGAAAGATGAACAAGATGTTGTGAGGACGTCACTGACGTCTGGCAATTAAAGCAACTACAATGGATAATCTATGATACAAGCGAACGATAAGCCCGTGATTCTATTGGGAATCAGAAGCCCAAAGCCCGCCACTCGGCCCCTCGTCCGTGGCGAGTCGTCTCCTGAAAACATTCACCCTTTAACCCCTAACCTTCATCTTGGCAATCACATCCTTCTGGATGGTGAACCAAGAGCCCCAGACCTTCCACTCCTTGGTCGGGTCTGCCAACTCAATCTCGAACCTATGCAAGAGCGTTGCACAAACCTTGTACAGCTCAAACATGGCAAAATTCCTGCCAGTGCAAATACGCGAACCATTACCGAAGGTCAAATCCGCCGCGTTCCACTTCTGCATGCGAACACGGAATGTCTCATCATCTTCACCAGGCTGCTGCAGCCAACGCTCAGGACGGAAAACATCAGAGTCCTCGCCGAATATGCTCTTGTTCCGGCTGACGACCCAAGGGTTGAGACCAATAGCGGTACCAGCAGGAACGAAAGAGCCGTCGGGAAGTGTGATGCCGCCAGCGGGAACGTATCGCTCAAGAAGCATAGCAGCAGCAGGGTGAATACGGAGAGACTCGCGAACGCAGGCTTCAAGATAGGGGAGCTGGCGAGCGCCGGAATAGGGAACGGGCTTAGAGCGGTCAAAACCAGCGGCCTGGATCTCCTCGGACACCTTGTTGTAGACGGACGGGTTCTTGAGCATGTAGTAGAAGACGGCACGGAGAGCGACGGCAGTGGTGTCGGCACCAGCAAGCAAGTTGACAAGCACATCGCTGATGATCTGGTTATCATCGACGATGTCCGGATGGGTCTCCTTGGAGTCGATGAAATGCTGCAGGTAATCCGGGTGCTTGGGGTCATAGTTCTCGTCCTTGCCTTGGAGGCGGGCCACGAAGGACTCGACGGCAATGCGAGCAGGGTTAATCAGGTTGGGAGGGCCGACACGCTTGACGGGATTCTTGTCAAGGAGGTAGTCAAGGACCGGAATCTGACCGACTGTCTGGAAGTAGCGAAGGGAGGCCTCGGCCTTTTCAATGGTCCCGTCGAAGTCACTGCCATGCTCCATGTAGCCGAAGCGACGGCTGAAGGTCACGGAGCTGATGAGGTCCCAAGCGTCTGGATTTGAGCACGATGTCAGCCCATCTCCTCTTTCAAAGCGGTCGTGATTTTGTGGTTGGAAGAAACTTACGATACCCGAGCCATTCACCAAAGTCAAGTTCCTTTGGTCCACCGGGAACGTTGATGAAGCGCTCCTCGACGTACTTGCAGAAGTCGTTGAGAACAACATCAACATGGGGCTCCAGAGCTTGAACATAGCTCATCGAGTAGTACTTGGCAACTGGACGCTTCATCTTGGCGTGCTCAGTTGGGCTTGTGGTACTGAAGATATGGTATGTGATCTTTCCATTGACGATGGCGCTGTTGTTCTCATAGAACTCAGTCTAATTGTTGGTTTTCCGTTAGCTAACCGCTTTACGATGCAGACTCTTGATGGACGTACCTTGAGCCACTTTCCATCAGTGCTATAGATGGTCTTGATCAACTCGGGGTAATCGAGGTCGAGAGTGTTGGGGCCGATACGGACAATGGGTCCGTACTTCTTGTGAAGGTCATAGATGATCTCATGATATCTGCCAGTCCGGGTCTGGTAGAGTCTCCACCAGTTGGTAAAGCCTGGAGTCGAAGAATACCATGGTCAGCGACGTCCTTCTTCACACACTGAAGAAACTTTTGAGGAAGTATCATTTCACATACCTGCAAGGAAGGGGCCAGGGTACTCCTTCAACGGGTTGGTAGCCCACGAGACAACGTACCACCCAAGAACCGACAGGATTGGAATGACGACAAGAGAGAAGAATGGTGATGGAAGACTCCTCACTTTCAGTGTCAGGACTTCCGGGTTGAGGGCTCCATTGAAGCCAGCGTGTGAATCCATGGCTAAAAGCTGTGGAATGTTGGCAGTCTAGGATCAAGCTGTGTTAAACTTCTCCGAGAGAGGCAGGTTCCCCGGAGTCCTTATGAAGGAACGTCACGTCGTAGTGAGCGTGGCAGTCAAGGGAGCCCGGACAGAAAGAACGGTGCCGGTCCAGGAGACGAAGAAATTAGCACTCGCCAACATGCCCGGCCAACGCAACCGGAATTTTCAAAAGGATCAAGGCCCTGTCCATCTCCATTTTGAGGCAGTTTTGGGTATGGACTGGCATGGTGGTGCGAGTTCTCAGTGCACTATTGGCTTCATGGCCTATGATGTGGTATCAGTGGGGTCTTCAACCAAGGACTTCAACACTATTACTGTGTACGACTTTCCACTTGAAAGATGCACGCAGAGACACTAGTCTTGTGAACCTTTCTAAACGAGGATCAACAGTGTTGCGGTGGAAGAGAAAGGAGTGGATCTTCACTATGAGCTCCGAACTTGAGCATTTCCCCCAGTGCCCAAGACTGGCACCAGTTCATGCAATTCAACGGCGTTTTAGCGCGCCGGCGTTGTACCTGCACCAAGCGAGCTGTTTTCTTCAACGGTGTCAGATGTGGATAACCCTGAGGTTGACAAGAAGAAGAACTAAAGTCTTGTCTCAACCACCGAGTTTATGATTTCTCACGGTTGACTGGTCACTTCGGTCATGTCGCTTTCCCAAATTCGAGGTCTGGCAGTGTCAATCAACAAAACGATATGCTCCCAGGACCTGCATACTTGGCACAAAACCACTCTTTGCTTTTAATCGATCCAATCTCGTTCGCAACTATTAGTACGGATGATGCCTCTCCCAATGATCCTGCCAATGTAGGCAAGTCACTTCAACGACTACGACGACTTTCATATCCGTTCCTCCACTATGCTCATCCATTGCTACTGCAGGTTAGCTTTGCAAGACGTTTGGAAGACGAGAATTTGGGGCTCGACAGCGGTCTACAAATTCATCCCCGGACCAATGACAAGCTGCATGCACCCCAGCTTTGCCCAAAGGAGCGGTGATCATCCCTATTTCTCCACTACCCGTTGACTTTCTCCTGAGACACCCCGGGACAGGCCGTGCCTTAAAAGACCGTTGGACGTTGAGGTAGACGTGACAGTGGGTCGGGTACAGCACTTCACCTCGCCCACGGTTGCTCAATTCCCCGGACGTTGATAGGATGGATATTCCTCGGGTCACCGAGATTCGCACGTATCACACGTCGCTACATGGACGTTCTCGTTCTGGGGACCAAGGCATTGCGCCTCGCGCATGTGTGAAGGAGTTGGAAGCAGTTGTTGATAATGATGCCTCGAGGAAGGAGGTTGCAACATCGCTGCCCGAAGTCACATTTGGCATGATGCTTTTTCTCTTCTGCCCACCTTCCGGGAAAAAAATCAGGACGCTAACATGGCATTGCTAGGCTGTATCCAGTTAGTCCAGCTCGCTGAAGCTCTCGGACCAATCTTGTTGGGGTTCTCGCCTTGCCAGGTAGGGAGCCAAGACTGAACTAACGCCTTACAGACAGGAAGCACTCCCCGGAGCAACAGTCGAGATATTCTCGCACTATGCTGAATGCACTTCAAGAACCGTCTAACGTCGCACTTTCCGGTAGTGTCAAAAGATGGAATTTGATAGCATGGGTCTTCTTTTGTCTTCTTCATTACAGGCCCCCCGGAACACACAACCGAACGGCTACAACGGCAGACCGCTACTTTATATCTCGTCGAGCTACCATGGAAGAGGCATGGCCAGCTGTAATAACCTTCTTTTTTTTCCCGAATACCCAGGGAAACGGTACCCCTAGGAGTGCGTCCGGGTGTTGGCACCCCAAGATACGATTTCGCCCTATCCCTGAGCTCCTCGTCGCCCACCGCCTCTGGGCTGTTCCAAGCGCCTCTTCAAATAGTGACCAGACGTGTGACTTATTTTTGGCTATCTGCGTCATATGGTACAGTACACGACCCGGAAGAACAGTACACGCTGAGCTTGCAGACTCGGAGCATCTTGTCATTACTTCTGCTTGGCTGGCCGTCATTTCACCACGGCCTGCATCCGGACACTCCAAAGGAAACGATCGTCCAACGAGTATATATGCCTCTCATCATTGCCAAATACATCAATTTTCTCCTTTCTTTCACATATTATCATGATACGTCCCCATGAATTCTTCACGCTCTCCTCTCTCACGTAGCTGGGGTGCCAGGCGTATCAAGGTCAAAGTGGCTGGGGTGATAATTCCAAACCCCAGGCCCCCAGGACGTCCAACTAACGCCAGCACCAATCCCGCTACCATAGGTGGAGCTCTATCTAACAACATCCCTTTCCTCCCCATGGCTGATGCCTCAAGGGCCATATCGGTTCTATTATGAGGCAGCAAAATGGTGACGAATCGTCTCCGGATGAATCTCAAAACTACCAGCTTGGCCTTGCCGCGGAACACAAGGTAATTGCCCCGTGAACATGGATGGGCCTGAGCCTTTGACAGGGAACTCAGTAAACCTTGCTGGTGAATGGCATAACGACAGTTCGTTTTGGCTCGCTGGACTTCGCCTGGTATTCTCAAGAGGACGCTAGACTCTGTGCCATACTGACCGATTGTTTTTTTACTCTTCACGAATATGTCCGCACAAGTACTTTGAAGAGTACTGCAAATACTACTAGGCTTATGATCTTTTATCTGAGATCTGCTGTTCCGTCAACCGAGCCGGGCAGGACCACTTACTGCCTTCGTCATTAGCCAAAACGTACACATCGAATTATTTTTAAGCATATTCAAGTTCGGATAGAGGTGATGAAAGCCGACACCTGCATGTGTGGTCGGCACACAATGCCGTTTTAGGTGCATGATCTGGTCAGAAGTCTAACGTTCGGACATTTGGTACAGTGCCGAGAAACCGCGGTTTTCAGTGCATCAAACGAAACCATGTTATGAAGGCTCTCTCTCCCCTGTCTTTTACTGTGTTGAAGGCTCAATGTTACTCTTCTTTCGCTGAGTGTCCACATGGGGCTGGTAGGGTTCTATCCCCAAAGCCCGGTTGCTTCCAGTCCTTCCCCTGCGTCGGTTAGAGCATATCCACACCTTGATAAACTGGGGGAAGAGTACAATATTCGTCCGCATCTGGAGGGATTGGCATACACGTACTCTCCGAAGTTTGGCTCTGGTGTTGCACGCCATCCCACTTTTCCCCGTCACAATCCAGTTCCCGGGGCCCTGGGGGTGGGAAAGTAGCTCCACCTCCCCCGTCCGAGTTACACTACATACCCTCATGGATATCTCATCTTCATTTTCGAGGTGGCAGGGTTGAGAAGTACACGTGAAGACGGGAACTGTAGAGCCGTAAGGTTCTGAGCTTCCAGAAGACTCAACGACCTTTGCCTTGAGTCGCCCGCCTCACATTCTCGGGTGCACTTTCCTTTAATCAAGCTAACTGGCTACGCAATAGTGTAGTAAGGAGATGTAGCGCCTTTGGTCAACTTTCCGTCCATCTCTCAATCCACCTCACCACAACATTCAAGTGACCGCACACACACCCTAGCTGACTTCTCAAAACTTCCTACGCCTAGTTCTAGCTAGCCCCATTATTCGGTCCGTGGCGAGGGCAAGCCGATTTCCGCCCCAAGTTGCCGCTTTACCCAAGCAGCCGGAACACATTCCTTTCCTATTTCATACCCGAAACCTGAGGCAGCTCAACGGTGCCGAGGCTTTCTGATGTCTTTCTTCATTATTAAAACACATCATTCCAACGCGGTGGCTTGTGCATCTCACGTCGGATTCCTCTCGTTTGCTCCTTCCGATTACCTAGCCTTTGGTTGACATCCTCTGTTGACTTACCGGCCTCAACCAAGGATCAACACCTCCAACCAACACCAGCAAGCTCACGATAACCTCACAATCATGGCAATAGGAGGTGATGGCCCGTGGGCCATAGCGGTCATGTGGATCATGGCCGCACTTACTGGACTCTGCGTCGGTCTACGACTATACGTTCGTACTATTGTTGTGGCGAATACGGGTTATGATGATCATGTTTATGTTGTTGCATTTGTGAGTACATTCCGATCACATCTTTCTCGCCCATACAGTTTGCTCAGATCATACATTAACCTCAACTTCCCTTTCCCCCAGGTATTACTCATCGGCTACACAATCTGCTGCTCCATAGCGGCGCACTACGGCTTCGGGCAAAACATGTGGGATATCCCGCTGGAGAACCTCCCCGGAGCCATTATGTGGGAGGCCATCGGGCAGTGCTTTGCTGTCATCGGCATGGCGCTGGCAAAATGGTCGCTGGGACTCTTCCTGCTGCGCCTGGTCAACCAGTCTTGGCACAAGATTAGCATCTGGCTGGTGATGGGAGCCCTCATGTGCGCTTCGGTCTCCGTCTGCTTCGTCTTTATGCTCCAGTGCTCGCCGCCGGCATATCTCTGGGATCGGTCGATCCCCGGAGGGCATTGTGATTTGAATGCCACGCCGGTTTCTTTGACGCTTACTAGTAAGTTACTTAGTTACTCGGAGTTCTGAGAGTTCTCTGTAGTTCTCAGAGGGGCAGTGTTCCCGGCTGCCGAGGGCTGATGAGAGAAAAACATGCTGACAAACTTTTTATTAAAGTCCTCTGCATTATCGCCGATTTCTTTTTCGCTCTGATGCCCTGGATCTTCCTCTGGGAACTCAAGATGAACCAGCGAGAGAAGATGATTATCGCCATTAGCATGAGTCTAGGTGTCATGTAAGTTCACAACCCCACATTACTTCTTACATAGTGTACTCCCTGACTATGACTTCTACCCATAATCTCTGCCTCAAAACCTTACCCTGCTCCAACACAATCCCACCCACCACCTTCTAACCATTCTCCTCAAAAATACAGCGCAGGAGCGTGCGGCATCAAGCGTACCCTAGAGGTCCCCAACCTCTCCACAAACAATTACTCCCGCGACACCGTCGGCCTGATCGTCTGGTCCTCCGCGGAAATCGCCATCACAATGATCTGCATCGGCATCCCGGTCTGTCGACCTTTATACAAGTCCTTCTTCGACAAGATCCTGTCCCGCTCCGGCGGCACCAGCGGGTATCAGAAGCAAAGTGGGCCCGGGTTTAGCAAGAACAGCCGTGCAGATGCCGGGGCGGGACTCGGGTTGAGGACTATTGGTGGCGGGTTGATAGCTGGACGCTCTGGACCAGGTGGTGGTGGCTGGTGGGAGTGGAAATAAGAGCAGGCCGGATCGGGATGATGATAGCGATGAGTTTGAGTTGAGCAGAGAGGAGGGGAAGACTGGGTTGGAGAGTAGTGGGAGTGATCGGCCTGGTACCAGTGGTGGGGGACAGAGTCCTTTTAATGATGCGAATGCGGTGTCAACAACGTCGGTCGCGGCGGGTAGAGTGGGTGAGATGGATAATCGCAGTGAGGAGTCGATTTTGGGCGAGGGGTATAGGAGGGAAAAGAACAACAGTGGTGATTTGGAGAGGGGGGAGGGGCCGGGATATGGACATGGACATGTAGGGCAAAGGGGGAATAACAATAGGAACTCAGGAGGGAAGCCGGCGATGATACAGATTACTGAGGAGTGGCATGTTACGAGGGAGTAGAATAGTGACCTAACACTGCCCGGGCATGTACGCGTGGGTTGTCGTTTTGTATGGCGCGGGTTATAAAAGGAATGGCGTTTGTTTTTGGGCTTTGGCTTAGAAAAATTGGGGGATTGGATGTCAAAAAGATGGAAAGAAGTGTTGCAGCAATGCATTCATGGGAGGTCTTTGTTTCTGGGCCCGTTACCTCAGGGCCGTCTCTTCGTGTTTTATCCCCTTTTCTTTCCTTCCTTTCTTTTCTATCACTCCCTTTTCAAACAATTAGAATTCCATCCCATAGGCTTTTTTGTGTCTTGTGGAATCATCCGACGGCTCTTGAGCCTTTCCAGGGAATGATCGAACCTTCGTTCCTGTCTCGATGGGGGGAATGGAACCTGCAGAGCCACGGGTTCAATTCAAGGAGAATTCCCCGCAAACAAAGGGCCAAACTCACCTTGGTCACTCCACCAATTAAGCATTTTATCGCACTTAAATCGTCTATATACTTTCTAAGACGCTTCAACAATGCCTGGAATAGCTGAGAATGCGCTCCGAGACGATTTCTGTCCACAGGGTCGATTTCGTGGTCGTTCGAAGGAGGGTGCATTTCCCCTGTCCATGAAGATGGCAAAGGTTACAGTGGGCTTACAGCGCGTTTAGTGGGCACCTGAACACACTATCAAAACATCACCATCATCAACGCCCCTCCCCCTTCAATGACATCAAAAACAGGTCATGGTAGAAAATGCCAGACATTTCGTCAAGATTTCTGGTTTCAAATTTGATCTCTTCACTTTCTATCTCTCTAGGTACTACACAGCCTGACAGCATAAAGGCTATCTTCAGCCCTTCTTGCCAACCAACCACCACCACCTGTCCTCCTCCCACAAAAATTACCACACTGTGCCAAACGCAAGCATCAACCACCAACACCGTTACAGATCCTGTGACTTCCACTGCTCCTGCGAGGCGTTCACCACTCCCGTCTCTACCTCCCTTCCCAAAGTAGTGCTAGCGTTCAACATGATAGGCTCACGATGCTCTCTCCATCCGCGCGAGTCTGCAAGTTGGGCGGCGAGGCGGCTACCTAATTTTTGAGAGTTTGAGTTTGAGTTTGAGCCTTTTCACCTCTACCCCTGAGTTTTGTTGGGTGCAAGATCCATTCAGAACACCATGATTCGAGCGAGTTAAGACTGGCCAGGTGAGGTGGGTAGAGCGTAAACTGGAGGACTTCTAGTTTGTTTTCTCTGGTTGATAGGTTCTCAAACAATGCGAAAACCCGTTGAGTTGAGTGCGCGCTGTGGGAATCCTACCTACCACGACTATAAGGTGCCGCTGGCTGGATTACAGTTGAGTTGATACTTGTCGACGACTGGATGAGTGAGTTTGGTTGGTGGGACACTACATGCCCAAACTCTGCAGCGTGAATGAAGAAGGGCTGGCTGGGTTGCTGGCAGTTCTATATTTTCTGTCAGTCTCGGTTCGGGGATTTCTTTTACAAATAACTCTACCTACTCTCCTCTGCTCCCTGGTCGTGCTCTTCTTCTTTCTTCCTCCCGTCCTTTTTGCTCTGTTCTCTTGAGTCTTGTCCCATTCTCTTTGGTTTACCTTGAGAGTGTTGTATTCTCTGCGTCACGAGTAAAATTTTCAAGATGAAGTCCCGACCGACGTCCCTCGGCCCAGCGACAATATTACTACTTCTGGTGGTGCTGCTTCTACTTCAAGTTGTGTCAAGTCTTGGATCCACCATTGACACCACGGCGTCCGTTCTCTCGGTCAATAATAACAAGAATAAGCCTTTACCAGAAGATGATAAGGCCATCGAACGAAGTCGCCTCCCCTATACCTACAAACACGTTGCAAGACAAAAGGACTACAACGACGAATACGTCGAGGATTGGTTTGCCAGCATTCTGTACCCGAAACTAAAGACTGGGAACCATGAGCCGGAAATCTTCTACCGTGGAGATACCGTGGTGGTAACTTATCTCAGTTCGTTCCACGAGGCACATCTTGACGTATTTTGCTACAACGACACCAAACAGAGCGGAGGAGAAAATTTGACATGGCGTAAGTTTTGCTTCTTCATCTTCTTGAGTTGGATCAAACACTCTCCTCTCGTCTGTTTAGTAGGGATGATGATTGTCAAGATCTGGACAGTATCCGAATCATGTTTAAAATGAATTTCTGCTCATGCCACTTACTGACGTTCAACCTGTTACTCAATCCAGCATTGAACGATCATTCCATCCCAACCTTCAACGGAACACGTCCTGTTCAGCTGTATTTTGACATCCCGGAAGGTTTCAACGTCACGATTTGTACGATGAGGTTAGGTGGCCGCACTAAGGGAGATCTAGTGTACGCCAGCATTGTAGCATCGGAGGACGTCCCATTCAAATATGTCAATCGTCACCGAGATGGACCTGCCCTGATATTCAGCCTTACAGGCGTGGTTACCGAAGGTACCGACACTGGTGCGGGCTCCACAACTTCAACAATATTGTCGACAGTTTCTTCACCGACCGCATCATCATCAACTTCTTCTTTGGGCCAAGGAGCCACAGCCACAACTACGGGCACACAAACGCAAACAAACTCGGCTGGACCGATAAGCAAGGAGGAGTCAAACTCAGGAACAAGTCTAAACCCCACCGCCTTGGCCGGGATAGGCGCTGGAGCAGGAGTAGCAGTAGTCGCAATTGCCCGTCATCTGTTTCTTCTTCTTTTGGAGAGCAAGATAGAAGAAAGGAAGAAAAGGGGCAGCCGCTGATACTGATGCTGATGAACCCACTCCCGTTTTGGTATCAGAGCACAAGGGAAAATCAAAGGTCAAGGTGGAAGAGTTGTATAGCCAGTCGGCTACGAACAAGGGTGAGCTTTACAGCCCGGAAAAGCCACAGGAAATGGGATCGGGAACAGAAAGGCACGAGATAAGCGGCGGGAAATTAGTGGAAAGGATTGAACTTCCTTGATTTTTTGTTTTGCAACTAAGACTAATAGTCTACTATTAGCACTAGCATTAAGATGGGATATGAAGCAAAGATCATGAGTACGAGGTTCATCAAAACTATGTAATAATGATCAGGAGCAACTGAGTGCCTCCAAAGACTTAATCCTTGTTAAATCATGGCTGGAGGGATTTTGAATTCAGTACTAAGGCCCATATTGCAATCGAGATCATTGAGGTCGTGCTTGTCCTTTGATTTGCCCAAAAGCTTGAGCTGATTGATGGAAAGAGAAAGCTCAATGAATTTGAAGCAAGAACGAAGCATTTCTTCGATGACCATATGCTTGACGAATTTTCCGCAACAGCTGTGAGGGATCATGGGGAGATAAACTGGCCTTGAGGTAAGGTCGAAGGCGGACCCAGCCATTCCATCATGTCCAAATTTAAGAACCGATTCCTCTTTGTTCCTCGGCGTGAGTTCGGCTCCTACTGGCGCGCCTATTACCCTCTTCTCCGGTTGCTCTCCCGCGCATGGTCAGTTGGCTTTCTCTGCTAGCTACAGGCTGAGAGGGAACTTGCGGAGAAATTACTTGGGCAGGTGGTATCGTCGCAGGGGTGACAGACGGTGAAGGACCAGAAGGGACCAAGCTTGTTTGACGACGAGATCCAGATTCTGTTAAAGCGCGATTTGGCAAGCCGGCCGGTGGAGGCATTTGCCGCTGGTCCTGACGGCGAGTATTCCTCGGAGGAGGCCGAAAGATCCCCAAAGGCGGTGTTGGAACCCGTCCTTGGTTACGATTCGACGCACTCAGTGTCCCTGAAGTCGGATACGATGAATGCTGCTCTTCCCGGGCTGTTCCAAAAAGAGTCCGGCGTGTCGGCAATGAGTGATTGAAGTTGCCGGGCGACGGGGCTTCACGAGTAGCGCCTCTTTCTTGTGATGCATCGCGATGACGTCTCGTAGTAGGTTCGGTGAAGTTCCGCCCAAGGGTAGGTGGACTGGTAGGGTGCACCACTGACGGCTCTGTTCGTGGAGTAGCAGTATTAATATCCGTAGAAGCGATGTGGGATTGGCTGACCACTCGCCAACCTCCGACTTTGAGAACAATTCTTGTCTTCTTTTGCGAACTGGAAACCGGAGTTTCGGGCGCGGGAGACGGAGTTGCAACTGCGGCTGCTACTGGTCTTGCCTCTTCTCCTCTTTGAACGGTCGTCGCTGCTTTTGGGACTGGTCTGGAGCTTCCACTTCCACTTCCAGTAAGAGCATCGTGAGGGGTGCTACTCGGCACTCCTGCCTCTGTATGAACTTGTACCTGCCTTGGTTGTTCCTGTGCTGTTTGCGTCGCAGGTGTTGGGTTCTTCACTTGCTGTCGAGGATTCTTTCTCTCCCTGGCATTCTGAGCTCTCTCCCCTACGGGCTGCCCTGGAGCCCCTTCTCTAGAGGTACTTGCTTCTTCCTGCCGCCTCCGAGATACTCCACGCGCCGCACTAGAAGGCTGAGGAGGAGGGGTGGCAGGAACCGTGCTCGCTTGTCGATTACCTCTGGTTGTTCTAGCAGTCGAAGTAGCAGCTGGCGCCGCCCTAGGATGCTGAGGATCAGCAGGAGCGATACTCGCCTGTCGATTACCTCTAGCGGTTCTAGCAGTGGCAGTAGCGGCTGGCGCAGCCCTAGGAGACCGAGGAGGAGGGTTAGCAGGAACGGTGCTCGCTTGTCGATTCCCCCTGGTTGTTCTCGTAGTCGCGACTGGCACACCGGGAGGTGCCTCGCTGGGGTATCGAGAACTGTACACACTGTTACTTCGTAAGGTACGAGCCTCACTGACACCTCGTGAACCGGGGGCGGGGGTTACTTCCTCCTCATCCTTAGCAAGATCTTCCTTGTCCATGGCGTCAAGTAGGTCCTTGCTGGCTGGCAGTGCCAGAAATGCAGCGGTTCTTGCTTCGAGGGTGGGTAATCCTGTCTCGACCGGTGGTGGTTTGTGAAGGGAAAGATCGATGCCGATGGACAGCAAGTGATCGTTCGTTCGCGAATTAGGAGACTTTGGCTCTTCGGCTGGTGTAGCTTCCTGGTTAACTCTACTCCTCGGTGCCGGCCTAGGTGGAGGTGCCATTGCTTGTTGCTGTTGTCTTTGCCTTTGAGCCTGTCGCACAGCATCCAGCTCCTGATTCCATATTTGCCGCGCTTGCAGGCCCTCCTCTAAATGCACGGATTCCCCATTCAGACTAACCGTATAGTGGCCTGACACCGGGACCAGCAGACCCAATTCAGCAAGCCGTCCTGTCGCCTGTTTCGTCTCTTGGACAGTCAGGACCTTGTCATTGCCAGCGCTTCTGTGCGCAAGTGGAAGTTCCAAAACTGAGGGATTCACCAGACCAGGCGGTGGCGGTCGCATCGACACTTTTCCTGCTTCTGCTCTTCTGGCCTTCTCGATGCTGTTCGTCCTTTCTTGCTCCTCTTTCCAGATGCTTCCCAACACCTCACCGGCTACTTCAGCTAGTATATCCCCGCTCAGCAGTCGCCCATTGATTTTGATAAAATACAGAGTTGCGTCGTCGTACCATGTGTTGCTGACTCCCATGTATTCAGTCAACCACTCTGCCACTTCGTGCAGACCCAGGCAGCGCAGGAATGCTTGACCCTGGCGGATACGTTCGGGAGATACGGAGTCGGTGAATAGACCTTCCGGCTTGATGCGGTCCAGAGCATTGCGGACTGCATGGATTGACGTGACTGCGGCCAGCTGCTTGTTGAGGTTATTGAGGATGATCATCTTGCGGGTTTCTTGGTTGATCAAACACAAGAGAGATATGATGTCGTCGGAAGAGAGGGACAGCAGCCTGCACATCTGCCCGAAGGAGTACGGCGGTTCATGGATGACTGTTAGGAGGTAAGTGATGAGGTATTGGATGTTGGCAGGCACAGAGGTCCAGTCGGCAGTCGCTACGCAAGATGTATTCAGTATCTGCCCAAGAGAGAGATCTGGATTAGCTGACAACGAATTTCCATAGACGATTCGGTTTTTCAAGAATTACCTGGACTGTAGAATTCCCAACCCCCCAGGGATTGACATCTTGAAAGGGATCGATACCATGAAAGTACCCGTCGAACTCTTCAGGCATCAGTCTAGGATCCATCGTGCTCTGAGTCTTGGAAACCTCCTCCTCCCTTGTAGGCAAAACCTCTTTCCCTTTGCCTTTTTCTGCTGCTGTTGGCCGTCGTCGCGGACTCCTTGGCCGCCTTTCTATCGTGGATGTCCACCGCGCTTTGGGGAGAGACTCGACAAGTTGTCTGGTTGAGAGAGGTAAACTCCCACCACCGCCGCCGCCCATAACCGTATCCCCATCGGAATCTCTTTGATTCTCCCCTGCCGCCGCAGCAGTTGCAATTGCCAATGCCGCTGAAGCCAGAGGCAGTGCGGGACTCACAGTCCGCCCCTGGTGGTTTAGGGCCGCCGAACTCTGAGCGGTGCGATCCTAGCCCTCTCGACAGCAGCCACCGCCTCGATCTGATTCCTGTAATTCACGTTCCTCGCGACTAGCAACAGTCTGACCTTCTTGCCTCCCATGTCCCTTTGCTGAATTTTCTCCTCCTCCACCTCCCCTTCTTGTCTGTCCTCTTCTTGTCCCTCCTCCTCCCCCTCCTCCTCTCCCTCAGAGAAAGACGATCCAACGTCCCACTCAAATTCCATCTCCCGACTCTTCTCCCACCTTTCCCTTTTCTCCTTATTGTCAACATGGCGACAAACGTCGACGCTCAAACCGAGCGACCTCGCCATCGCCCTCTCCCTATTCCTATCCCTCTCCCTTCTAGAAGGTCTATGACAGCAGTCGCAGGGAAACGGGCTAATATCCCTCCTCCCCACCACCCGCTTCCTCAGCTTCAACTTTTCAATACGCTCATGGTACCAAGCCTCGTACTCCATCATCTTCGGGATTTCTCGTTGTTCGCGAAGTTGCCGCCGGACTTTGTACACCTCGCTCGGCCCCGGCCCGACGTGCGTGACGGGGTCGAGAGAGGGGAAGGCGCATTTGTCGACGAGGTCGGGGTCGAAGGGCGGGCGGGTGTCGATGGGCTTTCTGGGAGGCGAGGGAGGTCGGAACTCGGTGTATGTGTCTTCCTCTTGCTTGTAGCCGTAGTATACGGGTGGCCGGCGGGTGCGCTGGGGTCTGGAGGAGGCCATTTTGGTTGTTGCTGTTGTTGGTGTTGGTGTTGGTGATGCTGGGTTGGAGGGAGGTACGAAGAAGTTGTTGTCCGTTTTTTAAGGGTAGTTGGTGGTACACGTTTGTTTGTCGTGGTGGTGGTGAAAGGAGAGTAGTTGTTCGCCTTGTGAGAGTTGCCAGGACGCGACTGTTGACGGGTTGAAGGTGACAGTTCAGGTACTCTTTTGTTGATCCTTTGCCGGAGAACAGGAGACGGTTATTCATTCGCGAACGAGAGCAAGCTGTCCCTGTTGTCTGCCCACAAAGCTGTCAGCTGGATGTGCTTATTTCTGTTTTGTTTTGTGTTGTTTTGTTCTGGTTGCTGGTCTGGTCTGTAGAAAGGTGGAAGACGGACTAACCTTTGTCGAGCAAGCCAGATCTTTGCTAGGTATGGAAGAGGGAGCTGAAAGCAGTGAAGGCGCCGAAATTCGGTGAAGGGGTATCAAGGTTAAAAGGTTCTTGAACAAGCAGTCGCTAGAATAAAGTCCGTTAAGTTGTCGCTCGTATATCGTGTCTTCTGGTTCCGTTTGCCTTCTTAATCGAGTAGATAAGAAGCGCGCCGTTTCAGACCTGGGACTGTAAACCCCACGCGACCTTTGCTAGCGACAGGTTGTTGAGACGGATAGCAAGAAAGGCGAATGCTGGAGAGTGTTGATGCTTGTTGAAGGTTCATGGAGTAGGAAGCACGTGTGAAGACGGGAGTTCGTCGGTCGTTGCAGACGCGACACGGTGTCAGAGGAGACGACGTATGCAAGTGAATGGACGCGACAGAAGTATTTCATGACGGGCCGTTATCGGAATCTCCAGACCGTCAAGGTTCATTTTGATCGGTTATCGTGAGATTTTCATCTAATGTCTGGCACTCCCGCAATTGCGCCGTGATTCCAAGTGTTTCCATGGTTCAATGATAGGACCGGTGTTGTTGGGACGATGCCATGTAATGGGGGGCATGTCAGTTCTGCTTCGAAGAGGAGGATATGTTCGATAGACTTGCTTTCGGAATTGACGAGGACGGGAACGGGTCATATTCGGAGCCCACTCTAAGATCGATCATGAGATTACAGTATGCGCAAATGGCACTTCGTATATTCCTGTGTGGATATGGAACTTTATATTACTGTCCGTATCAACATTTGATTTATCAAGTTGAATTTTGGACCTTTTTTGTTTTCACCGTCACCCCCAACGATCATCTTCTTCTCGTCCTGAATGAAATATGACAGAACATTGTTTGATTGGGTATGAAGGATAGATAAGGTAGGTATGTAGATAGTTACTAACTGTTATCTCAACCCGCTTAAATGAGCAATGGGCAAAAGCAGAGAACAATAACAAGAACAACAAGGTAAAAGGGGTAGGTAGGTAAATAACGTACGTACTGTTCCCTAGCTGAGCACTAAATTTGTTCAACCCCTTATGTCATGCCTCGCGATCGATATGCCATTCCATCTTCAACTCTTACCTCTCTCTGATCACCCGCTCCGTCGTAGAAGCCATTATGCTATAGACTGACGACTTAGCATGTCCTGCCTCCCTCGCCACCCCCGGTCCCGTTGTTGTTATTTATGCGTCCTTGCGGAAGCCTCTCCACAAACGGCGCAAAGTTCCTGTGGTTCCTCCTTCCTGGTCCTCTTCCCTGCTGATATTCCCTTGCCTGGCGTGCAATTTCCCTCCTCGCCTCTTCCGATGAGTAGCTATCAGCGGCGGCAGACATCTCAGCATCTTCCTCGAGATCACTATCATCATCCCCATCCAAGAAGCCCACAGTTGCCAACTGTCTCTTCAGCTTGAGCGTCCTCGTCTCGTTCGTAGCGAGGCCGGCATCTTTCTTGTTGGCCTCCTGGCCCTGCCACCGCATCCTCTTGGCCATCAGAATGTCCTCGTAGTTCTTGAGATAGCGCCGCGTGTCGTCGTCCCAGGCCACGCAGAAGCGGCGGTAAAGCACGAACCGGAGCGCGTGGACTAGCTCACAGCCCCAGACTTCGACCAGGTAGGCCACCACCACTGCGGCTGAGCGCTCGTTGCCTGTCTCGCAACATACCAACACTTTGCCCTGCTGGGTGCCGGAACTCCGCTTGTGTACCGAGATCAGGTGGCGGGCCATCTTCTCGTTGAGGCGAGGGAATTCCCTGATCAGCTCTTGTAGGTTGCTAACTCCCACCGCCTCGACTTCCACGCCCAGATCCTCGCAGACTTTCTTGGCCGCCGGTCCTAACGTAGGAATGGTCTTTGGAACCCCGTCCGGCTTATTTTGCTGTTGATGCTGTTGTTGTGGTTGTTGTCCCTGTCCTCCCCCAAGTCCCATTTTCCCCATCAACCCCGTAAGTCCCATGAGCGAATCCCTAACCACCACCACCATCGTCATCCCTTCTTTCTCCATCCACGCCTTATCCCTCACCACGCTCAACGGACCTAACCACAGGCTCGGATCAATAACCGGTTGCGCCGACCGACGGGACGAGTACTCCCAGCTCGAAGCCTGGTCCTCGGCTTCCTGCGGTGCACCGCCGTGGGTGATTATCGAGGTATAATCGGAGTCCAAGTCGAAGAGGGATGGGTCCAAGTTGCGCGGGGAGGGGGTGATGGTGACAGAAATGCGGCCCATGCACCGCGAGGCGGGGATGTCAACTGTTGGAGGCGAGGGCGGGCAGGTGTCGTAGGGGAAGGCGCGGGTGAAGGAGGTGTGCTCCAGGGAGCCGGGGGAGGGCGTGTGAGGAGCGTGTGGATTTTCCATTTTGGTGTTTTGAGGCGGGGATTGGGCTTGAGATAGTGGTGAGAAATGTCTTGTTTATTCGAAGAGCTCTGGGACAAGAACTGGACGTGGTTTCTTGTTGTTGTTTATTAATATTGAGTGACGGCTAAGTCAGCTCTTGTGTTGGGATGACGTCGACAAGGAGGACCTCGGCTCGCGAAGTGAGGACAAATTAGCTCGACTGGGAAGAATTCGGTAACCTGCAGACTAGGCTCAAGAATGAGTGGAAGTGGTGCTGAGCTCTGGTAGTTGCGGCCAGACTGAGAGTTCAACGGAAGTGAGTTCAAAGTTGAAATCGTCCAAATTGTGTTGACTTTGTCCGAGTTGTTAGGAAGGTGTAAAAGGCGAGTGGATCGTGGAGGTCGATGCCTAGAAAAAGTACCACTGTATTTGTACTAAGAACGTGGCAGGCGCTAGGCGGTCTTTGGCAGAGAGTGGAAAGAAGAATATGCGAGCAGGTAGACGGTTTCCGACCCGCGAGTAGTTGATGTCATTCACCTGAATGAAGCACTTTCCATCTCATTCTGTTCACAGGTCAGGAGAAGGAAGCGTGAAGGAGGTGAGTTGTGAATGAAGAAAAGACAAGATGAACATGGTAAGTAAAGGTTTGACTGCTAAGATCCTTTCTTAACAATTCAACTTACGAATCACGCTTTCCTCTTGTTAACTAACAAACAAACACCCTCCAAACATGCAGGCGGAGACGAAGAGGGGAATGCCCCAACCGCATGCAATTGGCTGCACTGTAGACCCTGCAGCCTGGCCAATTCAACGGCCAGGCCCGCAGCTCCCCCGCCAGTGGGCACCAGTCCGGGCACCCAGATGTTGGTGCCCCTGAAATGGGAACCTTTGAAGGTCTCACTTAGCCTGGACTTGACAAATCATCCAGAGACGCTCTCCATCTCGTCATGATCGCAGGAGTAGCAAGGAGAAACAGAGAAATAAATACACCGGAAATGGTGATCAGAAAGACGTCGTATAAATATGCCCGGTAAAAGAATCCGCCAGGTTCACACTCGGCTTTTCTTCTATCTAACCATACTCGCACCAAAAAAATACACCACACCATACAGGATAACATCGCCAGGCTGCATAATACACGTTGCTTCGTGGTCCCGTAGATCGTAGACTCTCAATGAACTTTGTCGTCGGCGTCTTTCTTGCCCGCAAGTACTCAATATCCCTCCATCTATAAGTTGCGCCTTGTCTTATAGGTTCATACCATCGGGCCCCACGCTGCTCTCCTTGGCCAACGGCGAGGGGTTCTCCGGCGTCACGGACCTGGATTCGACCTTCGGCCTCGTCTTCGTTGCCGAACCAGGAGGAGCCAAGGTCTTCTTTCTCCTGGCCTTCTCCGGCGTGAGCGAAGAGCTTCCCTTTCTCGTCAGTCCAGGCTCGTCAAGCTCGCCCCTTGGCGACGGCGTCGGTGTCGTGCTGCGCAAAGCACTTCCGTTCATGCTTCCCCTCCTCGTGCTGCTACTTCTAGTACGCCTGTGTTCACTCGACACGGCCGCGGCGCGAGGATGGAGTGCCTTTTCGGACACGGAGCTGCCGTGATGATGATGATGATGATGGTGGTGAATCTTCGACACCGCGGTCCGTCGCCAGGGAAGCCACCAGAACCAGCCGCCAGTCTGCTTGCGCAGCTTACGATCGCGTTCCTTGAGCTTGGCCCTCAACAGCGCGCGCCGCTCGTTCTCCTTCTCCCAATACTCGCTCCTGTACAACTCCCAGTTCTCCCTGAACGTAGGACTAAACGGCTTCGCCAGCAGCAGCAGCTTGACGTAGTCGCCTCCGGGGCTCACATCCTCTTCGTGTCCTCCCTTCTCCATGTCGTGGCTGCTCACGTTCACAACCGGCAACGTCGGGTGTCCATGCCCACTCAATCCCAACTCCCGATCGACCTCCTTCAAAATAGCCGGCTCCACATAGCGATAGCTCGACGTTGCGTTCGAGAACAAGCCGTACGTCAAGAACCAGCCGATTGTGCCCAGCGCCTCCTTCCACCACGGTCTCTTCATCAGAACCACCTTGCAGTTGAACCCGCGCAGGCCGCGGTTGCTAACCGTCAGCCAGCGGCGGGGCCAGCGCACGCCGCGCTCCCAGATGCCCGTGGCCCAGACCAGCACGCCCGTCATGATGCCGCCCAGGAAGCAGACCTTCTCGCTCGTCTCGACGACCCAGTAAACACTGCCACCCACGCCACTGCCGTCCTCGCGCGGAGCCAGGAAAAGAGCGTACCCGAACCCGGCCGTCCAAAGGCCCAGAAGGGCTAGAAAAAAAGTGTGGTGCCGGCGGCGGGCGCGCAGCTCCAGGTATTGGGCCCGCAAAGAGGCTTCGAGGATGAGCAGGTTCAAATAGATCATGGACGGCGACGAGGGCGTGTGGCTGAGCGGGTCGCTGCTGGCAATGCCACTGTGGCTGCCCTTGGTGGGTGTCGAGGGCGCATTCGACGAGGCAATCGGGGTGGTGCCGCTGATGGCCCTGTTGAGGTTGTTGAGGTGAGGCAGGTCTTGGGCCATGGGCGCACCCTTGACGATGGAGTCGAGTGCGTCCGCCATGGTTGTGACCGTGACCGTGACCGTGACCGTGGTCGTGTGTGTGTTCCCTGCTTTTGTGTATGTGTCCCGGACGGTAACTCGTCGGTCGGGGGGCAGCGCAAGGGATGCGCGCAGTAGAGGTACTGGCTCGGTATCCGAGGGAAGGGGGTTCGGTTGGTCGTCAGCCCGGCCGCACGGAATCGGAGGATTAGGTGTATTATTATCGGCAGTCGTCTAATTCAAAGTGTCACGGCAGCATGTCTGCCCAAAGCGGTATGGTTGTCGGTGGTCGGACTTGACTTGTTCGATGTAGGTATCGGAGTCAAAAGCGGGAAGGGTTTTGCGCAATGCGCGTTCGGGTGTCCGCGGGAAGCCCCTGTCGACTGTCACGGATGCGTCGAGGTAGCAATGCGTGGACTCGTTCGGCCGGTGTCAGCCTTGTGCGACTCTTGTGTGGTGTTTGTTTGGTCTGAATGGAAAATGTGTGATGCCTGTCGAGAATAAGGATAAAATGGACCGTCTGGAATCTGTTGAGAAGTGCTAGAACGAACGGGCTTCTGGCTAGTTGACCGCTACCTTGGGAATCCTTTCCTTCTTTTAGGCGTGTTTTTGGAAGGAGCCGGACACTGCGTCACCTGTTTTCTAGGGGTTTGTCTTGACCGCCTCAGACCACTGCACGCACCACTTAGGCGGCTATACTTTGATAGTGATGTTGAAAGGGGGCCTTTATAAGCTGTAATTGTTCATTTGGTTTATACGGAAAATGGTTCCCGTCATGAGAAGCCGAACCGTGGAGTATCTGGATGTTGAGGAGAAGGAATCCAGAAAACCAGAAAAAAAGGGGACGTCATTGCTGCAGGTGGTCAAGTACTTTCAAGCTACTTTTTCAAGGCTGACAATTGCTACCATTATAAAGTAGCGCTTGGGTACCCAGAAGAAGTGGAGAACTCCTGTTGTTGGGTGGGCTTTTGGCTCGCAACTTCACATTCTCACATGCAAACAATGCAGCTTCTGAAGAGCACTCCTTTCAAAGTGGAAGGGTCTAAAAGGCAACCTGTCTTCTCTCCAATGGAAGCTCAGAATAAATGAGAAAAAAATATCAGCCAGAGCTGGCCAACTGAAAACAATTCTCTAGACAGGTGTCAACAAACTTTGACATGATAGGCCGCAGCAACGGGTTTTATCGAATCACCAGTTCCGGAGCCAGAAAAAGTTGTTGAGACGTCATCGGCTCAGATCTGGGGAAGGGGGATGCTCAGATTCACTGAATCGAGACAATGTGGGCTGGCCTGTGGAGGTTGATCGGGGTGTCGGGCCCTGGGGACGCGCTAATTCCGAGGCAAAATGCGGGCAAATGCGGGCACCCAACCGCATCGACCGCACTGGACTTTTGGGAGATGGAAATGGGAACATGAACAACAATGACAATGGCTGAATCATTGGAAGAATCAAAACTGGACGGACAAATGGTCGCCAATTCCCGTCCCCAACCGCAATCTCAACGAATTGGGGGAAAGCTGACATGATGTGAATGGAACCTCCGGACCATTTTACCCTCGTTGGGAGGCGGGAACTTTGCAACTGGCCACAGCTTCTTCAACAAAACTCTCATATGAACTGGTCAGGTGAGTGGCCAAGTAGAGCGGTCTGTTTCGCCCGCGGATCGTGTTCGTCCAGATCTTGTCATTGGTGCCATCGAGATCCATATGTTAGAGCCCAATATAAGATCTCTACCATGTACACTATCTAAACCGACTAGGCCCATGCTTAATCATGCCGATTCCCCGATGGTCCATGTAATGCGATAGGCTCGGGCGCATTCGCTCGCAACCTAAAGCCACTTCTGCCATCGTTGGCTTGAAACATACAACGTATAATAAATGTGTCAGCATCCTTCCAATTAGTAAGGGGGGGCATCCGTTCAACGCGCAAACCTCCCTGCTGCCTTGAGGATGCTCAAGACATATCCTACAGCCATTTCACTTCCTAAAAGATTGAAGCTCGCCTCCGCCCTTAGGCGCTTCAACTCTACTACTACCACTTCCGAGACGTCCTCTCCCGACCCGACTTATACACAATCCGGCTATCGCCGATTTCGACGTCAACCAAGACCAGCCATCAACACAACCACCACCAATTCCTCGACCATGTCGGCTTCCGACACCACTCTTCCTCCTCCCTCGTCGCGGGCAACCCAGACAAAGGCCGAGAAGGATTCAAAGTCTCGCGGTGCCGGCTCTGCATTCTTTCCTCTTGGGTACAAGGAAGCCGCACAGCAATGGGTATGTTATCCTTTGTTCCACTTAGTTTTACAACTTCTACGATGAGAACCGTTCCTCTCTAACACGACATTTTTGTCGCAGTGGTCCAGCGTAACATCCCGCCAAGCAGAGCGCAGTGTCCTCTCTTTCATCCCCTACCTCCGCGAAGCCACGGCCGACAACGCCTCCACAGCCTCTCAGCTTTCTGACCTCGCCAATGCCGACCCCTTCGGCCACCGCGTATGGCGCCAAACCATGGTCCCCCTCTCCGGCAAAGACCGAGCCCTGAACGAATTCTCGATCGAGCGAGTAGGCGAACAAGCCGATGACACCCTCGTCATGCTCCACGGTTATGGAGCCGGTCTCGGCTTCTTCTACAAGAACTACGAGCCGCTCAGCCGCGTGCCCGGCTGGAAGCTGTACGCGCTCGACATGTTGGGAATGGGCAACTCTGCGCGGCCACCGTTCAAGATCCACGCCAAGGACCAGCAGGGCAAGATCCGCGAGGCTGAAGCCTGGTTCATCGATGCGCTGGAGGAGTGGCGACGGGCTCGCAAGATTGAGCGGTTTACGCTGATGGGCCATTCATTGGGTGGCTACCTCGCCGTCTCATACGCGCTCAAGTACCCCGGTCGTCTGAACAAGTTGATTCTCGCTTCGCCGGCGGGTATTCCCGAGGATCCGTGGGCCGTTAACGCGGCGATGCCGGAGCCGGAGGAGTCCGCTTATGGCAACGAGTTTACGCAAGATCAGGAGAGTATCGTCAACCGCGAGACGCCCGAGGGCGGCGCAAACACTGCTTTCATCCAGGCTGATTCCAAGGACAAGAAGGCTGTTGCTTCGTCGATCAAATCCAACTACTCAGCCGGCAAGACCTCCGGTAACGGCAACACCAACGCCAACGGTAACGGCAAAAAGGACACAGCCCCCCCTCGCCGCCCCATCCCAGGCTGGGTTTCCTGGCTCTGGGACGCCAACGTCTCGCCCTTCTCCATTGTGCGCATGACCGGCCCCTTGGGTCCGCGCTTCGTATCAGGCTGGACCTCTCGGCGCTTCAACCACCTGCCCCCCGACGAAAAGGAGGCCTTACACACCTACTCCTACTCGCTCTTCCGCCAAAAGGGATCAGGCGAATACGTCCTCCCTTACTTACTCGCCCCGGGCGCGTTCGCTCGCAGTCCCGTGATCAACCGCATCCAGGAAGTCGGTCGGCAAATCATCTCCCAATCCCAGCCCCAAACACCAGAAGGAGCACCAGCTGCGCCCCTCCGCGAAGCCGGGTTCCCCATCATCTTCCTCTACGGCGAAAACGACTGGATGGACGTCGCGGGCGGGTACGCTGCCGAGGAGAAGATCAGGAAGAGGGTGGAGCAGGCTTTGTTAGATCCCAAGCGAACGGAAGAAGAAAGGAAGAGGGAGAATGGAAGTGCCAAGGTGGTGGTTATTAGAAGAGCTGGGCATCATTTGTATATTGATAACCCGGAGGAGTTTAATGAGGTTGTGAGGAAGGAGATGGAGGAGACGAAGGCGTGGGGGGCGAGGATGAGGAGGGAGGGGTTGCTCCCGCCGACGCCGGCTGAGAAGTAGCTGCGTTGGGTTGGGTTGAGTTGAGTGGTCATATTGGATTGGGTTTTGGTAAAGGGTTGTGTTGGGTTTGGCTTAGACAGATGGCATCTTTTTGGGGTTTCTTTTTTTGTCTATAACTTTGTCCCTCTGGATGTGTATATATAGCGGCGTTGTGGGTTTTTGTTTTGGTTTTGGCTGTATGGGATGGATGGATTGGGAGGGATATGGTTGGCGATGGGCGACGACCGTGTCTGGACGGGATGCACTCTTGGTGTTTATAATGAGCGTGAATCTAGGCATTGAAGGAGTTTTTTGGGAGGAAGGGGAGCAAAGGCGCCCGCAATTGAAGATAGAGCTTCTTGTGTAAAGACGTTTATAGAAACGTATAGGATAGGATGTGCTTATAGAAGTTAATGGATATCAGTCCAAGAATTAGAAGCTTACAATCTCAGCGATGAACAATATTCATGGTATATAACTATGGTTGAGAAGTGCGGCACTGTAGGGGCAATTTACTGTTGAACCAGCCTCGAGACCATTATTTGAAACCTCCTGTCATTTTTTCGTGCCTTCAGTTAAAATACCATTGATAATAATAAAACAACGCCATTCAAAGAGACTCTCCCACGCATTCGCTCGGACCAGGTTTTCCCTCATCTCCATTTACGCTGCCGCATCCTCCAAGGATGAAAAGACCTCCGCAAGGATGTCATGCCATTACGATGGCATGAGTTTGAGACGAAAGAACTCCCTCCCCCCGGAAGATCTCACAACAACTTCCTAACCAAGTCACACTCCCTACTCATCGTCTCCAAGCTCCTCCACCTTCGGGGCAACGTAGTTTCGCTGTGCTGCCGCCGTAGGTGTAGCAGTAGCAACTTGAGTGTCGGTAGCGGTGGTCACAGCAGTAGCCGGAGCAGGTTGACCGGTAGTAGCGGCAAACGCAGCATTGGCCTTGGCACTTCCGGCAGGAGTCTTGGATTTGCTCTTCTTCTTTCCTTTCTTGGGGTTGGGCTTCACAATTGTCAGTATGAGCACTTTTTAGTTCAGCGACAGAGAAGACGAAAAAACTCACATCATGCCAAGCCCAGACAGGTTTGAAACTTTCCACGACACTGACGTCCTCCCACAGGTTCGGGAACAGCCAGAAACCCGGTGATAGCACAAAGTACGTGATGCAGAACAGGATAACGCGGAAGATAGCCATGGCAAAGAACAGGCCCAAGAACATCAGGAAGCCCCAGCTGAGGTAGTAGACGCCCTGGCGCATCTTGAGAGGCCACAGCGGGTACAGCACCACGGCGAAGATGACCAGCAGCGCGAGCGCCGCGTACACCTTACGCATCATCTGGCTGCCCTCCCACAACCACACGTAGTACATGTCGTCCTGAGCGTCCTGCTGAGGCTCAATCCGCACCGTCCAGAGGCCCTTGACGCGCTTGCCCCCGCCGTGCGGCTTCTTGGTGGGCGGGTGGTCGTGGCCCTCGTGCGGGTCGATCTTGACGACGCGCAGGGCAAGCATTGACATGGGCAAAAGCTTGAAGGTGTTCTCGAGCGAGGCGCGGTCGGTGATCTCGGGCAAGAGGGGGTTCTTCTTGCGAGCCTTCTCGTAGGCGGGAGACTGGAGGGCACGGAGGGCACGTTTGACTGGAGATGTCATGTCAGGTTAGCAAATTGAATACTTGGGGGGTTTCAATGGTGTGGCATATAGCTCACCTCTGAACATGTCCTTGCGTTCGTCATTAAGGATGACGGTACGGGGCTTGAGCTCCTGGCTGCGGAGGAACTTGGCGAGAGCGAGAGCTTCGGGCTTAGGAGGGCCGGGAACAATAGGGCGAGCTTGACCGGCCGGAGGGCCATGCTGGTGAGGGTGAGGGTGTTGATGTTGATGCTGGTGCTGGTGGCCGCCTTCGCCTTGAGATGCTCCCTCTCCTCCTCCTTCTCCTCCTTGTTGTTGTTGCTGTTGTTGCATCTGCTGTTGCATCTGCATCTGTCTCATCATCATCTGCTGATGTTGTCTCTTGAGCTGCTCGACAAACTCGGGAACGGTCATGCCAGCCTTCTCGGCATCAATGGCAAGCTGTCTCTGGATCGCCTGAATTTGCTCGGGCGAGGGCATCTGGCCAGGAGGCGGCATGGGCATTTGCCCTTGGCCCGGTTGAGGAGGACCCTGATTCATGGCGGAAGAGTTCTATCTGTTGTCTCTTGCGATGATTTCGACGTCTCGGTAGAAAGGAGCTGGCAATTGTGGTGTTCCGGGAGAGTCCTGGGTCAGCAATTCCTTGCGTGTCTTGGTGGTTGATAGAAAGATGCCGTTGCACTAAAAGGATGACGGAACTAAACCTCCATGCAAAGCTGCGATCTGTACTTTACACATCCCGACCAGTGGCAGCCAGGCCTATTGCGGCAGCTGTGAGCGCTAGGCCCGTGGCCCTTGCTTTGAATACCGTGGCCATGGCCCAATGACATTCAGGCCAAGACTGTACAATGCATATCCCACGTTTAACCCTGGCTCGGGTCTTTGTCTGCTCCTGCAGCACTCAATCAACGGGACTTCCGGCTATAACCCTGAGCAAGGTTGAGCCTCATGGAAACTGAGAGGTGGTTATGTATCAGCCACAACTTGGAATCTGAGAAAGTGGCTTGGACGGTAAGTCATCCATCACTGCTGCATGTTCAATTAAACTCGGATTCATGACGCGCCCATCTCTCAACCCCATCACACATCTCATTAAACTGACGCGCTTCAACGAGGACCAATGATCTCTCTGCGAGGAACAATTCCGCTAAAGTCGGCGTCGGGAAGCCTGTATCATTCTTGTGTCTCATGGGCATCGCAATCTGCTGGTCTTGCTCGGTTCGAACTGCCTTCCTTTTCCCCTCCAAGTCGTTGAAAGTCTGGAGTCACGGTTTCTTCCATCGCATCTTCGCACCGCATATTTTGTGTCTCTGCACAGCAGCGACATTGCCCGTCTGTGCTTCGCAATCCACGCATCTCGGCGCTTAACCCAACAACCGATCTCATACCTTCTCATGCCCTCAAAATCACCATGTCAATATTGGCCACTCTCCATGCCCCCCACCCCAAACCGAGGTGAAAATTGACGTTGGAGGCTTGGATACCTGGAGGCTTGAGGCTTGGAGGCTTGGACGGTGGTTTTGTTCGCCCCTCGGCCCCGCCGCTTCCGCAGCAGCACAACACGAAGAAAGAAAGAAAAGACACATGCACACCTGTTGACGCCATGGGAAGTATGACGATAACAACACTGGATGGCTACATACCGAGAGAAGGAAGCAAAAGAAGAGAAAATTCACTCAACCTCGTGGGTTGCCTCTCCGGTGTTTTAAGCCAATCCATCATTTGCATTCGCTGATGGAGAAACGCCCTACCCGTGTGGTGCCACCCAGTCCCTTGCATCCGGACGAGCACTTCTGCTCCTATCATTTTCGTGTCGACGAGATGGACACACAATGGGCCGCCCAAGGGTCTGGAGACTGCCCTTTTTGAAACACGGCCATTCTAGCGCCGTCACCGGTTCGAGAGGACCGACGGCATTCATGGGTTCATATACGCACACGACTCGAGAGACGGAGCTCACTGCTGTTTATATTTTACGACAACCGGCACGGCAGAGCAGAGGGGCCAGAGCTGCACTGCACCCAGAGATCGGATCCTGGCAAATCCACCAAGATCGCGGGAGCCTCAGAAGGACCCCAGTCCACCGCGTCTCTTTGGAGATCACTGCAAGTTAGCCGGCGGCGGGCTGTTTCGCCTTGTTATACCCCTGTTGGTACCTCTTCCAGTGGTCTTGGTCTTCTCTTGAAGCCACGAGCGAGGGTTCCCTTTTCTGCACTATGTTTCACCAACATTTGGGTTTAGTCTCTTCGTCTTGGTTTGATCTGTTGCTTGTTTTGGGTCCTGTTTGTCTCGTTGGAGGCCTTCGAGAACAAAGACGATGTGTGTGTCAGTTGTCACAATGGGCCGGATATGGATCCGCCAAACCATCACTAACACCAACATGGTGATGCCCCCCTCCCACCAACGCCAAGTCGGCGGCCGTTGCACCCTTTGTTCTCCCTCCAACCCTCAAAATATGCACACGACCAAGTGGAATACCTACGTAACGACCTCTCGGGAAATGCTGTGGCAATGCCGTCACAAGATGGTGAATGGGATGCTCGGTATCCAAGAAACATCTGAGACACTGCTTTTGGGTGCGGCAGCTTTGGAGACACGCCACTGGTGGACGAGCCCTCATGGTGTGTAGCCTGAAGTAGCGCCGCCATCCGCTACATCATCACGACCCCAGTTCTGTAAGCGCCAACTGGTTGGACGAGCAACACCCAACAGCCTATCACATCGAGTCTTGCTGCAACTGAACCGTCAGCGCCTCCCCTACTCCCAACTTCCAAGCCATCAACTGAAGATGGCACGCTGTAATTTTCCTCATCTCAGCCAAGTGGAAGTATTCCGGCTGCTAGCCACGAGCCAGCTCCTTCCAGGATGTCTGGGTGTGTGGGTAGCGACAAGGTGAATGTATTTGACAGCACCTCTTCCACCGCAGAATACATCATGGAGCATTAGTGTGGTACGGGATGGATGGGTGGATGATGAGTGGGTGCCGTGGTCCATATGCCATCCATCCCCGGGCCACTGCGTGTGGTGGTGCAAAAAGAGTACTTGTACATACATATGCGGTTGCTGTATGCCACTCGCTCACTTCCACTCAATTCTGTGATAAAGATGAGATACTCCTGCGTTCGCGCCGGAGCTCTCTCACTGCCCTCTTTCTCCCCCCTCTGCACCGTTATGCTGCTGCCCTAGCTTGTTGTTTTCTTTCCTTTGTTCTTGGTTCTCGGGTACCTGGTCGCTGGTCGTGGTCTCTTCACTTGCCCTTTTTGATGCTTCAATGGCTTAACCTCCTTCTCGACATCGTCCTACTCTTTTATATGAACGCTTTTAACCGCCATCCTTCATTATCATAATCTTCACCCACGCTACTACTAGTTAGTAGCAATGAGCACGCTGGGCAGCATGCTTTCAGACACCTGCGCCTCATGGATGCGTTCCATGAACTCATGTTTTGGACGGGGGGATAAGTCCAGCTCAAGTATGTCAAGATTTTAAAAACATACATCACACCTCACTAACCTGGGTCTTAGATACTGAGAAACCCATCGTCATCAAGAGGGAACAGCAACCTACATTCATTCCACCTTTGTATGCCGAACCTGTATTCTCAAATGAAAGGTCATTCGAACAGACACTTGAGCGTCAGAGGGGAAGGTCAAGGTCTGTCAAAGGGGCTAGGTCCTCGCATGGCGGTTCCGTCTCTAGATCTAGGGCAAGGTGGTTGTCGAGATCATCGTCTCGCCCACGACAACGGCCGCAAATATCAGCCCCCACCAACTTTCGCCATGTACATTCCGAGTCTTTTCAGTATCCTAGTCCTAGTGACCACCCTTCACAACAATGCCTTCTACCGCAGACACAGCCACAGCCACAGCAACAGGAACAGCAGCAGCAACATATCTATGAACAACAACAACAGCTCCCGAAGAGGTCAAGGCCGCCATCGTTTCACCCCATCGAGCTAAGCATCCGAGCTTCCCCATTACTGCCTCACTTCGTCGGAGACGACAATGAGACCACAACTCGTATCACCCCTCCACCGCCAGCACACATTGTCGAGAACAACAACATCACGCAGTGGGACATTAGCAGTTCAACCATGGGTCCCAATGATGTGGATTATCCCACCTCGTTTCACCTTTCGCGTCATGCAGTTGGACAGGTCCAACAATCGTCCACCAATAGCCAGTTCCCACCAAGAATCCCGCCAAAGTCCAGAGCCCGAGCTCACACCGCGCCCAGCACAGATATCATGCTGGAAAGGATAGCCAGTGCGATGCTCGAGAAGGAGAAACTGCAGGCTGAGATCGATGAGCTCGTTGAGAGGCAAAGTGTGTACAAGGGCAGCAGGCCCGGCAGTCCTGTCGGTTATAGTGGTATGATCATTTACGGTGCTCCAATATCTGTCCAGCTCACTAACACACGACAAACAGCGAGTGAGTCAATGCCCGTGTTCGATGTTCCCGCTATGCCAGCTGCTGCACCCTCCTTCGCCGAACGAGTTAGCTACGACGAGCGTAGGCCGAAGACTGCACCCTCGAGCAGTCAACCCCAGGGGCCCGGAACCTTTTCGGCTATGAGTGGTGGAAGTGCCACACCGGACGGAACCACCCTTGCTTTGGCGGTGGCAGCGTTCAACTCCCACCCGCCTATGATCAACTTCGCTCACCACTGGTACGGCCAACACGGATTCGATCACGCAGCAAATGGAGACCGGCCAGTTTCTTCAGCCTCGACGGCAAGGGCAAACGAGTCCCGCAGCCGAACCTCGACCGGGCCCGCCCCGCCGCAAAGAATCATCACATCGGAATTCGATCGTCCCCTCGCCCCTCCGCTCCCGCTCGTTCTCCGCCCACCCCTCCGCAAGAAGAAGTCCTTCTCCCGCGTCTCCAACTGGCTCTTTCCCGGGAACAATGGCTCCGTCTCCGACAACTACTCCAACAGCAGTCCCACTGACACGTACCACAGCAACAGCTACAGCAAACGACACGAGCACAGCATAAGCAAGGATTCAATCACCAACGTTCCGAGGCCGATTAAGGAAAACGAGGGGTATTATCAGTGTTTTTCTCCGTCGCAGGGTAGCAACCAGCAATACCAGCAACAACAGCAGCAGCAGGGGAACAACCAGAGCGACTCAGCCTCATCCGCTTCCTCCCTCTCCTCCTGGCGATCCGAAGAAGAAGAAGTGCCCACCACCACTTGGTCGCTAGGCAGCAGTCCCGTGCGCCAGACGCCCGGGCAAACGCCCAAGCAGACTCCGGTGTTGAGCGCTGATGAGGCTAGCTTTGCTGTTAATGCTGCTTTTTCCGCTGCGCCACGAACCACGGAAGAAATCAAAGTTCAGGGAACAGAGGAAGGAGTGATTAATGGCAGTGGTTTGCAGACCGGGGAGGGAGTGGAAGGAGGAGACACCGGAACATGTGTAACGATCACGGGACTCAAGATTCCCGAGCACAGAAACGGACACCGGCCGCAGAGCGTGGGTGTTGCTTTCTGAACAACACGAATCAACGAAATCACATTTTCCATCACCATTCTTACCGCTTCTTTTTGATTCATCCCCGCTTTCTCGGCCTATGTTTTGCGATACCCACCGAGAAAATCAGCCAGCCGTTGTACTACCATCTTGATGATGGATTCAACTGGCTGGTTGATCACGAATGGGCGGTCTTCTTCAGTCATTGTCTTGGTTAATGGGGAGGTACTTTGTTTAATATCATATCAATATCCGGCGTGGAGGGCAGAGAAGGGGAGCACGGCCTACTTGATCTGGATCTGGCAATTGGGTGGGAGGCGACGGGGACAGCCATCGATATAGGAAGATGGAGGATCGGAAAACGGGAACGGCATCTTGGGAGGTGAGCGGTGGGCATTGGGGGCAGTTTTGGGCGGCGATGGCTTCTCCATTGGAGCCCGGTATACACAAAACGGAAGTGGGGAGTTCGGGGACGGGAAGGGGGGGGATGAGCATACCCAAAAACGTAAACTAGGGGCAGGGCTCCTTGTTTCTCGGTTAACGTGGTGTTGCTTGGTAAGATAGAGAGGAAATATTGGTCGGAGGGAAAAAAAGGCGAAAGAAAACGGATATGAGGAAACCGGGGAGGGGAAACTGATTTGGAGGCAAACGGTGCCTTTTTGCTATTTGCATTTTATGATACCAACCAACCGACCGACTGACCGATCGATTCTTAGAAGATACCTATGTACAACCAACCACCACACATCATTATTCTGGTGTGGATAATGCCATTCATTATTTTAACTTCAATTTCAGCCTCACATGATCGTGAATGTAGCTAGCATCAAAACACTGTACTTGAACATCGCCAGGAACATGGTCTGCTCTTAAGAGGCGTGCCTCTGTAGCCAATCCACCAAGTATTATTTATTATACGAACAGCCGCATCGACGGCGTGCTGTGCGATACATCTGGTGAGTGACTCTGGAAAGTACGCATTCAATCGAAGGTTTGGACAAATAATTGGAAAAAGAAACAAAAAAAGAGATACCAACGCGCAGTTAGCAGTAGCCCGCCCTCGGTCCATATTCAAATCCCGCGGTGTACGACATGGATGGCACGCTGTCGGCCTCTGGTCTTGGGTTGAAAAGAAATCTCATGATCTGCCCCGTCCAAGAATCGAACTCGAAGTCGGACGGGGTGGGAGATGCAGAGCTGGGACGGTACTACTATCTGCGCTATTCGACCAGGATCGAACTGGTCGTTTGGCTAGGGGTGTTGGAAGGAAAGTACGGGACGGGAGCTTATAAGTGGAAGATACAGGTTATTGGGCGGAAGGCGTTGGGGGAGGGACGGGAAGAATGGGATGAGATGGAAGGTGCGGCTGCCGGCTGGGAAAGGCAGTGACGCTCAGGTTTACTCAGCCTTCCCACGAATGGTTGAGTTTATCTCATCATTGACTTGACTTGGAAGCGGAAGATATATCATGAACATCGCTGAGTGTTCGCTGTTGTCAGAATTATCCGTCATACAAGGTTTGTACCACGAGTGTTTCCATATCAACTTCCATGTCCACCTCATATAGGCATTATTACCTCCTGTTCACCAGAAAATGGGGTCCCATAAATGTTCACACTGGACCAGATGACCAATTCAGAAGAGGGCACAATACGTCAAAAGGTTTGACTGCTCAAAACATCGTTTACCATGTGTCTCTGACCATAATTCTCGCCGCCCTAATTTCCCAAAAGACATGCTTTCACAGCGCTTCCACTCAGGGTCGAGATGCTCCAGCGTTCACTCTCTCTGGATGGATTCCTGCTCGTGGTTCACCATAAGGTGGATGGTCGGATCCGGGCAGATTATCTGCGGTTTGTCTCTGCTGGCGGCAGACGACGAGGTATACGAATCAGGCATATTGGCCCACACGGTAGCCTTAGCTGTGTGAAATCGCGAGAAGCAATTGTTGAGGACATCGTCCACTCCTTGGCCCACTTCGACAATGCCCGTGTCGAGGAGTTCCTGTTTTGTCACGACGCACCAGCTGGTCAGTTCTCACGAACATGAAGCAGACGAGCCAACGACACTGGACGGAAGAAACAAACCTTGAGATGATCCGCTACCTGCTCAAACTCGACCTTGTTCAACCTCAACCGATCCGGAAGACCACTATTATGCATGAGCGCCAACAGCCCAGCAATTGTGGTGTTTACAGCTGCGAGGATCGTGATTGGGGTCCCTGTGCCGACACCTTCGCTGCCTCCCCATGCTCCCAGAGCCGTCAAGACCGCCCCTAGCACGATCTGCAGGATCATCAACACCCACCGTATGATGCTGAAGATGGGTACGAGTACAGGTACCGGGCCCGTTGGTGAATGACATCCCGATAGAGGCCTTCGGGCATGCCACGGGGTGGCCAGTACCAGCAGGTGGGGTGGACGACGTTGCGAGACTCGGAAGAAGGGTCCGCGATGCCGCCGATGCTGTGAGCGATGCGGGCCCATTCCGATGGTGTCAAGAAACGGAGCTTGGGGTGGATTGAAGTGCGGAAAGGGGTAGAAGGACGGGGATAGGCTGATGCGAAGGGCTGCTGGCCATTCGTGTTGGCTACAAAGGTATTGGTGTTTGCCGTGTTGTTGATATGGGGAGCGGTAGAGGCTGAGAATGGACGACTGGGAGGTCGATTGGGGTTGGATGGACCACGGTTACCATGGTTGGTGCTGGCAGCGGCATTGGTAGTTGGGATGGGGATGTTGGACGGCCGGTCGGACTTGTAGATGATGCTCTCGATGCCGAAGGCTTCAGACCCGGGGGACTGGGGAGGAATTTGTGGGATGTCGGAGTCCCGGTTGTTGTGCTTGGGGCTGACCATTGTAGAAGTATTGGTGATAACCTGTTTGGACGATTTGGCAAAATGGAGTATCTGACACTCCGTGTCCAAGACACCAAAAAGGGTACGACCAACAAGAACGGGATAACGAAGCAGCTTGTGTTTAACTGGGAGGACTGAAAATCGAGTGAGGAGAGAGAAATGGAAGAAGCTGTCCCATGATTCGAAAGAATTGGCCACGAGAAAATTCTTCACTCGAAGAAAGGTCTCAAGAGGGAAGGAATGGCCCATCTTGGGCAGGCTACAATCACGATACTTACGGAAGGAACGAAAGAGATAGCAGTGAAAGGAAGGAAGGAGACGAGAGCACTTGCCCCCAAGCAACAATATACTGCAGAGGTAATATGATGTGATGTCGACCTGCTTTTTGGCCGAATGTCTCTTGGCTTAGCAAACGCCCGCAACAGACGCAGTATGAAGCTATTCACAACATCCATGTTTCTTGGCTTGTTTACTTTTGGAAGAAAAAGGAAGGAGAAAAAGGGGGAGGGGTGTTGGAGAGCAAGGGTACGTTGTGCTTGTACTCTCACCGCCCGAGGGCAGAACTCCAATTCTTGGCAGGGGTGGGTCGCAATTGTTTTCTGCCATTGACTGTTCTCCACAAAAATGTTGTTTCGCAGTGTGATCAACGAGGGTCCAGTCGTGACTGTCTTCTGATTCCCGCTTCTCAATGACCAATTTGCGCCTCGACTGATCCCAAGTCGCCAATACGCGCCTGCACCCTTCTATATGCGCGCCCTTTTTGCTGCCACATCTTTCCGGCGAATATTCACACGCTTGATCCGACCAACCCACCAAAAGGTCCTTCCCCTCACCAACTTCCGCACAATGGCTTCCGAAGCCAAGGACATCACGGCACCGCCCGCCGAGAAGCAAGTCATCGTCCACGAGGGCAAGCGCTACGTCACAGTCAAAGAAGGCCTCGCCCACATTCTCGTCCCAGAACCGTCCGAAGAAGACAAGGAGAACCTCAGGCCCGACCAGGCTGTCCGACAGGTCTTCTACAACCCCATCCAGCAGTACAACCGAGACTTGACCGTCCTCGCCATCAAGGCCTACGGCAAGGAAGCAGTCCAGCAGAAGCAAGCCAGCCACTCCAAGCTTGAGAAGATCATCGAGAAGAAGAGGAAGCGAGAGGCCCAGAAGAAGGAACAGCAACCGAACAAGGCGCAAAAGGGAGCCGACGGCGAGAAGGCGACCACCGCACCCGCGAACCGATGCTACATCTGCCGAAACAGTACAGCAAAATGGAGAAGAGACCAAGGATGTCACAGAACAAGAGACCGACGTTCCCGTCGAGAAGGGGGACGAACAAGCTACGAACGGAGAAGCCAAGAGGGAAAGCAGCCACCATTTACCGTGCTCGATGCGCTATCAGCCAGTGGCCTTCGTGCCCTGAGGTACGCCCACGAAATTCCGTTCCTCACCTCAGTAACGGCGAACGATCTCCTCGCGACCGCTGTCGATTCCATCAAACTCAACGTCAAGCACAACCGCCTCGAAGACAAGGTCAACGTTTGCCACGACGATGCGTTGGCCCATATGTACACCCTGATTGCGAAGGAGCTTCGCGCCAAGGATCCCAAGGGCAAGCCCACCCTGAGCGAAAAGTACGACGTTGTCGATCTCGATCCCTACGGTACCGCTGCTCCCTTCCTGGATGCTGCCGTGCAGTCTGTGCGCGATGATGGTGGTTTGCTCTGCGTTACCTGCACTGATTCCGGTGTATGGGCCTCCAACGGATACCCCGAGAAGTGCTACTCCTTGTATGGCGGTGTCCCTGTCAAGGCATGGTTTTCTCACGAAGTCGGCATTAGACTTGTTCTTTACTCTATCCAAACGGCCGCTGCGAAGTACGGTCTCACCATTGAGCCTCTCCTCTCGCTGTCCATCGACTTCTACATCCGAGTCTTTGTCCGCGTCAAGAAGTCTCCTGCTGCTGTCAAGTTCCAGGGCGGCAAGAACATGATGGTGTACAACTGCGATAGCGGCTGCGGAGCTTGGTCAACACAGATGCTGATGAGAAACAAGTCCTCGCCGAACAAGAAGGGCTCCGGCGTCTTTTACAAGCACACCTTTGCTCAGGGACCTTCGGTTGATAAGGGCTGTGAGCACTGCGGTTCCACCATGCATATGGCCGGTCCGATGTACGGTGGTCGCATCCACTCACCCAATTTCATCAAGCGCGTCCTCGGCGAACTCGATGATGCGCCTACCGATGTTTACGGAACGACCCTGAGGATAAGGGGTATGCTGCAGACGGCCCTTGAGGAGATTTTGTTGACCCCCGACGAACAAGAAGCTGAGAAGGCCAAGGAGGAGGCAATCAAGGCCGGCAAGAAGCTGGATCCCGCCTTCAAGGAGGCCGAGCTCGCGGCTATTGATCCCTACCCGTTCTATTTCCACCCTGCTACCATTTCCGGCATTCTCAAGTGCTCCTGCCCACCAGAGGCACCCCTCAAGGGCGCGCTGCGCGGTCTCGGCTACCGGGTTACGAGGAGTCATTGCAAGCCGGGTAGCATCAAGACCGATGCACCATGGTCGATCATTTGGCATGTGTTCAGGGAGTGGATCCGCCAGAAGGCACCCGTGAAGGAGGACAACATCAAGCCTGGTACGCCTGGATACAGGCTGCTGCGCCTGAGTGAGAAGAAGAAGCAGGAGGAGCAAACAGAAGGTGGTGAGACTCCCAAGGAGCAGCAGAGTGAACAAGCGGAGGAAGAGAAGATGCCCGAGGTTGTGTTCGATGAGCAGCTTGGTCGGGATGACAAGACCGTCAAGTTGGTCAGATATCAGGCGAACCCAAGAGAAAACTGGGGTCCTCTAAACAGGGCAGTAGGCAAGGTGCCTTCTCACCACCGTAAGGATTAATAAACTCGAGGTATGAGCTTTCAGACTTTTCGGTTTTGACCTTCGGAGCGAGCTCGCTTTCCCAGGTGGTGCGAGAAGGATGCTAGAGTCCAAGGGCACAGCGATCCGACAGCCAGTAAAAAGTCTGGTTCGGTAGGCAGTAATTGACTTATTGACGAGATGCAATCCTGGCAGTAATCCAAAGTCCGAACCTAGGCTTAAAAGCCAGACACTGTTGTTGTTGCTGTGCGATTAACTCCAATCACCGCGCCGTGATATGAGTTCGGGGAATGATGCCGAGTGGGTGACCCACTCCGCATGTCACCACCCGTTTTGGGTCGGCGCCGTGCTGCCCGCCGATGGCATAATCCGGCTGTTGGTAATCACGCAATTCAGCGGCTGGGTTTATACATACAAGGCAGTGAGTAATATCATCACATAGATTAGATTTGGTGTAACTACACCACACGTGCTTGGTAGCGAGCAATGAAAATGCACATTTTACTGCATGTGTTTTTCCCTGGGCTTGTCAAGGTGGCTGCTGATCTCATCCTCAACCTCCACACCTGGAGCTATCATCGTCATTGACACCGCAATTGAGGAGGCCAAGAGTAAAGGAATCCACTTTTGACGATGACTGCTTATGGAAACTTAATATTGCCGCTGTCTGCTTTATTCCTCTTTTCTTTTTTCTCTTTCTTGATCGAAATGCCCTCCTGGCTCAAGAACATTGTCTCACTTGGTCATCGACGAAAGGGCTCCACCACTGCCCGAAAACAAGATCAGAGCAGCAGCAACAGTCAATCCGATCCAAAGCCAGATTCTCAACTGAAGGCGTCCTCTTCAAACGGACACAAATCACAACCCGAAAGTCACCCAGACAAAGGAGTTGGTGAAAGCAAGAAAGGACAACCAAAGGAAGATTTACCCCGCAACACCAAGAACAGCGATCAACAACCCCGCGATAGCGACAACATGACCGCCGCCGCCGCCGTGTCGCCCACTAAAACCCCCGACAACACATCTTCACAAGACCACATCCACCTCAACAAGCGAACAGGAGATCTCATCCAAACATCCGCTCACAATGATGGAGTCGGCGACATTGAAAACTCGGCCAACGCCCTGAACCCCAACCAAATCATCTTCATCCTCAAAAGTGATGATACTGATACCAGCCACGGTGGTTATCGCATTTACTCGCTTCTCGAAGAGGAGCCATCATCTGCCGGCGCCGACGAGGACGGAGACGGGGAGAAGGCCAAGGCCAAGTTGAAGGTCATCAATGGCAAAACTGGCGATGATGGTCATGATGAGAAGTCAGCGAAGGCAAAATCGCCGTTTAAACTCTCCGTTACATGCGCGCAAAACCTGCCGGAGGAGTTGAAGGAGGAGTTTTTAGTTGCGAAGATACCAGACCACTTGGCGAATGTTGATGAGTTGCATGTGATTGTCTCGACGCGGTCGGGGTTAGGGCTGGCGGCGGGGTTTTATGAGGGGGTTCTGAAGAGGTTGTTGGGGGAGGGATTTGGGTTTGTGGGGGTTGGTGATTATGTGGTTAAGCCGGAGGGTAAGGCAAATGACCAAGAGAAGGAGGGAAGGAGTGGACAAGACAAGAGAGAAGGCGGAAGGAAATATCGCATTACGGTGACCAAGAGTGCGGATACTGTTAAGGATTTTGCGAGGGGGTTGGTCTCCTCGTCACCACCAGCTGGTTCGCAAGGGAAACAACAGCAACCAAGCAGGACCATCATCCTCCTATCCGGCGACGGCGGGATTATTGACTTGCTCAACGGTCTCGACCACCCAGATCAGCACGGTGTGTCTTCACCACAGTCATCATCACCATTACCACCACCCACCCCAATCCTCGCCATCCTCCCCCTAGGCACTGGCAACGCCCTCTTCCACTCCCTCCACAAGCCACTTTACATACCAGAAGGCCCATCACCACTAGTCCTCGGCCTCCGCACCCTCATCAAGCGCGGCGTCTCCGCTCCTCTCTCGACTTTCCGAGCCGAGTTCTCACCGGGAGCTAAATTGATCTCCAGTCAGCCGGAGGTGCTTCCCGATGACGAGGAACCGAAAGATAATTTGTTGTTTGAGGTTACCGACGCCAAAACCGACACCACCGATACAATTGGAAAGCAAGAAGAAAAAGAGAAGAATGCGAAACCAAAACCCCGACCAGAAATATCCCACCTCCTAGGCGCCATCGTTTTTTCGTATGGCTTCCACGCCTCGCTAGTCTACGAGTCCGACACGCCTGCCTACAGGGTACACGGCGATAAGCGGTTCGGCATGGCGGCTGGGGAGTTGCTCAAGATTTCGCATCTGTATGATGCTTCTTTGTCTATCCGCCGCCGCTGTACCTCTTCCTCCTCCTCCTCCTCCTCCTCCTCCTCCTCCTCCTCCTCCTCCGCAGCAGCAGGAACAGCATCAGGAACAGCAACAACAGAAAGCAACTGGAAATTGTTACCTCGCGATTCCCACTCAACATACATCCTAACCACCCTAGTCTCCAACCTCGAAAAAACATTTTGTATTTCTCCTCACTCAAAGCCGTTGGATGGACAATTGCGGTTGGTGCATTTTGGTTTCGGCGAGGACACCTCTCCCTCTTCCTCTTCCTCTGAAGAGAGGGGCAAAACCACGATGGATATCATGATGGCTGCGTATCGCGACGGTGAGCACGTCAAAGATTCAGAGCAAAAGTTCAAGGGTGTGGTAGGCTACGAAGAGGTGGAGGAGATCAAGGTCACGATTAACGAGACGGATGAGCGGTGGAGGAAAGTTTGCGTTGATGGGACAATTGTGGAGGTTGAGAGGGACGGATGGGTTTCTGTTAGGAGGGAGGAAGGGGGAGGAGGGAAAGAGAGGTTGAGGGTTTTGGTTGATGAAGGGGTTGTGGTTGGGAGGGGGTGAGTGGGTGTTTCTAACGTGTATATTGGGGATCTGGATATAGATGGTGATGGGATCTGGAAGCAGCGATAGAACAGAGGTTTTCTTTTGTTCAGCGAACAAATAATTGAAAGAACTTGTGGTATAAGCTACAGCAACAGCAGAGCAAGTCAACCATCTTGTTTGTCCCTGTAAAGAAAGCCAACCCGTCAAAGCAACAAAATGGAAATACATATACACGAACAGCAAGGAGTCATCATCAAGAAAGACAAACGGAAACCCGCTTTGCTTATCCATAAGCAGGGCTATCTATATGCATAAACTTCTGCAAAAGCCTCCTATAATCATCACCCATTTTCTTGCTCTCCTTCCACCTTAATCACTATCCTCCATATCAAACGCATCATCCACCGCCTTCTTACCACCCTTCGCCTTGCTGCTCACACCAATATCCCCAAAGGAGTCATCATCATCCTCACTCGCGCTGTCAATGACGATCGGCTTCCTGGCAGCAGCTGCGCGACCAGGCCTGCTGCGAGCTGGAGCAGGCGCGGGATCCTTCATGACAACGTCATCGCCATCAAGGTCATCCTCGTCGTCACTGGCCAGCTTCTTCGCCTTCTGGTTCTTCTTGGCATAGGCCTTAGCAGCCGGTGAGAGATGGACCAGCGTCTTGAGCTTGGCCGGAACGGCAGAGGCCGTCTCGCCCTTCTTGGCGGTGACCTTGGGCTTGGGCTTCGGGGCAGCACCGTCATCGTCGGCGGCCTTGGCAGGACGGCCACGCTTCTTTGCGGCTACGGGGGCAGGGTTGACCTTCTTGCCGATGGCATCGTCATCGGAGCCCTCTTCGACTTCACCAGTCTTGGACTGCTTCCGTGGGGACGACATGGCAAGAGCCTCGTAGTTGGTATCATCCTGGCTGTCGTTGTCGAAAGCCTTGGTGTGGAAGGCCCTGCTCTTCACCTTGGGCAGGCCGATACCGCTGCTCTCACCTTCTGGGCGACTCATGGAGAAGAGGCTGACCCTCGGACCGTTGCTCGTTGCGGCAGGGGCTCCTATGCCCTTGACCAGGGAGCCGACGTCGAGAAGCATGTCGTCGTCATCAGAAGCTTCGCTTTCGGAATCTTCCTCGTCTACTTGGAAGAGCGATTTGGCCTTGGCGGCCGCCGCGCGCTTCCTGGGGTTGGTCGGTACAGGCTTCTCAGCTTCGCTCACCACCTTGTCGTCGCCGTCGCTTTCGAAATCATCGTTCTCGAGAACAGGTGACTTCTTGGTAGCAGCCGCACGCTTGGCGGTGGACTTCGCTGGCACAGGCTTTTCGGCTTCGCTCATAATCATGTCGTCAGCATCGCTCTCGAGATCATCAAGAACAGGTGATTTCTTGGGAGCAGCAGCGCGCTTAGTGGCAGGCTTAGCAGCGGGCGCAGGCTTCTCTGCTTCGCTAACCATCATGCCCTCGTCAGAGTCATCAAGGACAATCGGCTTCTTGGCAGCAGCCTTCTTGGCCTCCGGCTTGGGGGTAGGCGGGATCGGGTCTTCAGGAGCGTCCTGAAACTCGATATCCGAGTCTTCATCATCGAGAGGGGCCGGCTTCTTGGTAGCGGCAGCTCGCTTGGTGGTGGGCTTAGGAGCAACCTCTTCCTCAGACTCGTCGTCGATGAAGTCATCCAATTCGGACTCTGAATCCTCGTCAAGGATTATAGGCTTCTTGGCTGCTGCTGCGCGCCTCGCGGGCTTAGCTGCAGGTTTCTCAGATTGCTCCACCGATGCAACCGAAGGCGCAGTCGAAGCCGAAGCCGACGCGGAAGTTTTCTCGGAAGCAGTGGCAGCCTTCGCGATGTCCAAGAAGTCATCGTCCGATTCGTCGTCACTGAGCGCATACTTCTTGGTCTTCGCCACGGTGGTACGCTTAGCGCGCACGCTGGCGATAGTAGATACGGGCTCCGACTCTTCATCCTTCTTCTTGGCTGCAGCCGGGGCCTTCTTGTTGAGCAAATCGAAGTCATCATCTGAGAGGTCAAAAGCTCCGTCGGCGAAAGCGGTCGACTTGGGCTTGGGCTTCGCCAGGCCGGAGAACTTCTCTAGGAAACGCTGCTGAGTCTTGACCGTCTCAGCCTTGGGAGCTGCCTTGGCTCTGGGTTTCTTGGCACCCGGTTCAAAGTCCTCGTCATCCTTGGCAGCCCTGGGCTTCTTGAGTCTGGAGACAGCACCGCCCTTGTACGAGACACGGCGTCCCTTCTGCCTAATCTCTTTCCGGACTTCATCTTCCAGCCTGAGCTGTTCTTCCCACTCAGCGGTGAAAGCATCAAGATCTTTGCACCACAAATCCTTTTCGCTGAGCGCATCGAGCTCATCGTACTCAGCTTTCTTGGCGGCGATCTGCTGCTTGAGCTTGTCAAGGCGCTCAAAGGTCAACGACCAGATGGGCATCTGTCATCATGTTAGTCTTTCCTGTAACATAAACTCGTGGGAACGATATTACATACCGAGAGGAGATAGTCATAATCGCGGGCTCCGCCAACGGCGTCCTCCTCGTCCTCGTTCTCCGCAGCACCGAGCTCCTCATCAGGAGACTTCACATTCCGTCCATCCGATTTCGGAGGGAAGGCCTCATACTTGCGTTCGCGAAGTTCCTGGACAAGGACCGACTTCTTCTTCTTGGCAACGATGAGCTTGTTCTCAATAATTTCCGAAATGAATCGGTATTGGTTCTGCAACTTGCGGTAGTCCGCATGGTAGACCTTGAGCCAGTGCTTCTTGCGCTCACCGTAAAGGTTGAGACGGTAGTGGTAGTATTCCTCCATGATTTCTTGTGGGTTCTCATACTTGTAAATTTTACCACGGGTGTCGAAGGCCACTAGATTGGTCGTGGCAACTGTCTTGGTAAGCTTGAACTTTTCAATAAGACCGTCCCGAAGAGCGGAGGACATCTGCTTCTCCTCAAGGGCGATGATGAAGTGGACAGTTTGGTGGTCGTTGTACTCTTTATAGTCCTTGATCCAAGAAGGACCCTTGTCGCCACGGATAATCTCTTCCAGCTTGGACTTGAAATCATCGGTCCACATGCGGATGGGCAACTCCGTAACATCAACCTCATTGGGGTTCTGAGGGTTGACCTCCACGATACCGTTAAACTTGAATTTGTTGGGTCCATCAGGCTCGGGAGTGCCCTTCCAACCACGGAACCACGGAGTCATGGGTTCGAAGGGTTTCTCCTCCCCGTCGCCAGACGAGTCTCTGCCCATGCGGCGCTTCAGGTTCTCGACGATGTCAAGAGGGTGATAGTTGGGAATGGAAGTGCTCCAACCGGTACCGATACCATCTGCACCATTGACCAGAACCATCGGGAGAATGGGAGCGTAAACTTTGGGCTCAATGAGTTTGCCATCGTCGAACTGGAATTCCAGATTGGGCTCGTCGAGGGGATGGAAAATCTTTCGCGCCAAAGGAGACAGTCTGGTGTGAATGTAACGAGCGCTGGCAGCATCGGAACCACCAGAAAGACGCGAACCGAAGTTACCGCTAGGCTCGAGACAGTTGATGTTGTTTGAGCCGACGAAGTTCTGTGCCAAACCAACGATGGTTTGCTGCAGAGACTGTTCACCGTGGTGATAGGCTGCTTCCTTGGACACGTAACCGGCCAGTTCAACAACCTTTTGATCGTGAATGAGGTTCTGCTTGAAACAACCGAACAGAACCTTGCGTTGACCGGGCTTCAAACCATCCACCATGGATGGGATCGATCGAATGTTGTCTGCCATACTGAAAAGAATGAGTTCGCGATTAACGAAATCAGTGTATGAGATCTTCTCGGTCGAATGGTCGAGGTAGGTGCCCGGCTCGCACTTGGCAAGCCACTCCTTACGAGCATCGGCCTTCTTCTTGGAGAAAGCCAGCTCGAACATTTCGGATTCCTCTCTGGTCATGACATCGAACTCCTTGAGATGCTTGGTCAAGTTGGTGAAGTAGATCTGGGCATCGTCTGTTGTCGAACTACCCAATCCCTTGAGATACTTGTACTTCCATCTGCGCAACTCGTTCTTGTGTGATTCCTTCCATTCCTCGTACTGGGGCAGGGTAAAGAAGCCTTGCAGCTTTTGCGGCTTCCTCGGGTTGGGACCCTGCCACACCTTGACAACGGGCGTGATGAATTCCTGGAAGAAGTTGGGAATGCGCAGAAGGGAAGGGAACTGGCATTCAAAGAAGTTGATAAGAAGACCCTTGATATGACTGCCGTCAAGATCCTGATCAGCCATGATCATCAGATGGCCGTATCGCAAATCCTTTGTGTCGGTGTAAACCTTTCCGTGCTTGAGACCAAGGAATTTCTTGATGTTCTCGACTTCCTTGTTCTTCAAGATTTGATCAGCGCTGGCGTCACGGACGTTCAGCATCTTACCACGCAAGGGGAAGACACCGATACGGTTAGGATCCAAGATAGCACGGCCAGCGACAGCAAGACCTCTGGCGGAATCACCCTCGGTAAGAATAAGGGTACACTCTTGCGAATATTTTCCACCGGCATAGTTGGCTTCAATCAGCTTGTCGTTGCTGATACGCTTTCGCTTGCTACCATCGTTCTTGGCCAAGTCCTTGTCTCTCTTCTTGTCGGCAAAGCTCAACAAGTTGTCAATGGCCTCCGACTGTCGGACTTTCTTGAGGAACTGGTCACCAAGCTGGCACTTGCTGCCGAACCTGGCGGGCTTGGTCGTCAACTGCTCCTTTGTCTGTGAGCTGAAGGCCGGGTTGTCAATCAAGCAGTTGATGAAGATGAAGAACTGGTTCTTGACGTTTGCCGTCTTGAGACCGTGTCCCTTGCCCTTCTTCCTCTGCAGTTCCTTCATGAGAACCTCGATGATCTGATCGGCAATGTAGTTGACGTGGGAACCGCCCGAGGTGGTGGCAATATTGTTGACGAACGAGACCTGCTGGAACGAGCCGTCCGAAACAGTGAAACCGACTTCCCATAGCTTGCCCTCCGACCTTTGCTGCTCGAAGATGACTGTGGCAGGAGTGACATCTTC